ATTGCAGCAAAATTATTGTGTTTTCCATTAATCAGCGATCTGTAAGTCAAATTTAAGTCAAACAATTTTTCAAAATGCCACTTACAGTAGGCAAGTTCAACTGTAATCTCATAACTGCAATTGAGATTTTTTACTTTTATTGCATAGATAATTATAAAGTGCATTGTAAGGAGACAAAGTGAAATCATTGAAAAAAACATTGATTTTAAATATTATTAGTTCAATATCATTGTTTGCTCTAAATTTGTTTTCTAAAATTTATTTTTGTCTTCTTTTTTTTTTTTTTTTTAAATTAAATTCATCTATGGGTCACGTTTCAAAATGTATAATTTAATAGTTTTTATGGTAGTAAAATCATACGATTTTTTAAAACCAATGACATTTAATTTAATTCATAGAGTTTATAAAAAAACGATGCATTATTTAATTCTTTTGGAATTGTGCCATTAATACTTAATGACTCATGGTCTGTAAGTTTTACCATATGGGAACGGTGATAGAAAAACAGTCAAATAACACTCATTTCCACTGTATCGTTTAATTTTTCCGGTGTTAGGGGCAATAACTATCATCAATTTGATGATGTTCTTGCAAGTATTCAAACTGCTGTCCTACTTCTGTCACCTAATCAGATTTTATAGTGACAAGCAAAAATCTAGGATTCCTATGCTTGAATGAGTAGCACTGAAGCAGAGGACTTCAAGGTATATATTGTTTATCTTCGTCTTTATGTAGTTACTTTCTGATATTAATCAAAAATAAGGAAATGTAAATTGTCTTAATACAATAGTGACATGCTGGTACTTTTTGCATTCTCAAGTACCCTAAGTAGATTGTCAATGTTGGTTACAATTACACCTCAGTTTCCTTATTGTTTCGGTCAAGTAGTAGAGATTAAAGTCATTTGCAGTACAGCCTCTGAATATAATAAATAAATAAATACATACTTGTATATATTATATAAATGAATTTAAAATTATTTAATTTACTAGTACTTGACAACTTTTTGAAAATGCCGACGTAGGACCGGCGTCAATTTCTTAACGTCGGCGATTTTTTGCCGGCGTGCTTTATCCCTAATTTTGAGGGCTGCATATTAGATTGGGTGCGTGGCACAATGACATCACAACAGTCATGAGATTTGGAAGTAAACAGCAAGAAAATGTGTTAACTTTGCAAAAAAAAACACATGTATAACAAAATTAGGTCCTAATGTAGCAGATGTTGGTGGTAGCTACAACATGTGTGAAAATCCTAATTGTACTTGAAATTTGGATATATATGTTGGACAGAGAAAAACAAAACATTATATTAGTAGTATAGATGTAAACAACTACTATACATGGTTCCTGTTTGTTGACAATATTTAACTCCATTATCCTTTGTTTTGCATTATTGTGAAGAACATTTCAATCAGGTGCGTAATGATAATGGTACCATTAAGGTTAGAGTGCATTCTTTTTTTCCAATACAGATGAAACAAAACCTGTTGCCAGTTCTACTCATCCAATTAACATTTCTTTTATGGTGAATGTCAAAACTATAAATTATAAAATAATACTACATGTAGTTTATTTAGAAAGTTGATTTATTCATTTTGCATACTAAAGAAAGTGTCTCATGTTTTTATTTCCATTATATTTATAGTCCCAGTCATAATATTATATTTAGACTGTGATGATACTATATTACATGTTAATAATATTCTTTATTGATATTCACCTTAACATAAAGGTATAATCAAGACAGAAAGACAAACCATGGACCTATTAATAAGTCCATGGAGTCTTATTATAGGTCCATGGACAAACAATAGAATTATTTTATTTTATTTATTTATTTAGGCACACAATACATGTGCCAAGGATTGTCAACAGCGAATATATCACTATCCTACTTGTAGGTGACAATCCCTTACACAAGACAAACATACACACACGATGCTTTACACAAACTAAATCTCCATAGGGAGTGGAGTTGTTTTGGTCGTGAGAAAAAATCCAGCAACTGGCTGGAATTGAACCCAGGACCCTGGGATTGGAAGGCAAGCATCTTAACCACCAAGCTATTCAACCAAAGCAAAAACCACACATACTGTACTGTAGTAGACTAATGTATGATGAGCATGTTATATGAAGATAGTAAAAATCAAATCAATATAGCATATAATATTTAGTGTTTTCCATAGATCAAGAAACTTCCTTTTACAGACTTGTTTCATTTCCAATAATTATCCACTTCACTAACAAATTATAATTGTGTTTACATTTGTCACTTTAATCATAAAATGGAGGATGCTTCCTGTTTCAAGAATTTAAATTAAATAGAAATCTGTCTGGTATAAAAATGAACATGAGGAAAAATCATTAAAAGGCCAGTGGCCCATCATTGTCCAGTGGGTCTGTCTATTAAATTATAACTTTAAACTTTATTATAGGACTGTCATTGGCGGTTGGTGTGCCATTCTTACATCCATAAGATGATTGGTTCAGTTCTTTTGTATTCCGATATTTACTATCATGGAGAAAATTAATATAATTTTTCCATGCCTGTGCAATATGAATTGCAAGAAAATTTATTAAATGGAAGCATTGATTTTTTAAAAATCAAAATCCCACCTTCTGTCAATCACTTTGTTTTATGTGATTATAACAGTCCCAATTGACCTACATTCATAATCAGTTGTCAATCATAATGTAAACAGCTCTCCCTTTTGGTATGAGACTTGGAGATACACCCCTACAGTGTTGACCTAGACACATAACGTAGCTAAAATGCAATTGTTCACAAGCTTATTTCATGATTTGTTTTTAGAAATATAAATTTATTTAGGAGTCCTATAACAGTGTAATGATATAAATGTTTTGCAATACTGTACTGTATATGAGTATTAAATATTGTTTTTTGTTTTTGTTCACATGAAAATCACTATCTTGTTTGATTGCCCACTCAAACATAGTGTCAGCTGATAATGTTACCACTAATCCTACAGTATGTGCCAACCAATTATCTGCGAAGGTCATTGTAATGCCTATACAGTATTTGATAATTCATAACCTATGGAGATCAGAGGAAAAAACATTTTAAAACCTTTATAAGCCTAGAAAATCGCAACCACCCTTTCTTCCCCCTGAAAAATCAGTTGTACAGTACATCATATCAAAAATTTGTTGTCCTCTGGATCCTGATTTTAAAGCTTTATTTTTGGCATGGTGTACGTTCCATCTCAATCGATGTACAATGTTTTACATTTGTACAAAAATGGCAGCCTTATACTGTAGTTAATGAATTATTTGTATTTTTAAATTTACATGTTTTAAAGAATGATATGAAAAAAAATGTGTTGCTACTTTAAAGAGATGAAAGGTAGTTCAAATCCATCATCAGTAAATGCTGACTATAACAGTAGACAAAATTCAAAACAAAATTTGATACAGGACAGGATCCAATTTTGGTGACTCTACAGTATATCATATTCATATAGCCTCCGGGAATCAAGTTAAATAAACAACAAAGTATAGTAACAATATAGTCGTTGATTTTAAAGTGGTATGATTTCCTTTGTTTACACTTTGTAACCATTGTCTGTAAATTATATAGCAAAATGGGAAATAAAGTGCAGGATGTACTTGTTTCTAAGGTGTTTCTAGGGGCATTTGAAGTTCATGTTTGGATTTTCCAATATTAAACTTTTACACAATGGAAGTCAAGCAGCTGTCACACTTGGAACCTTAGTAGGTTTACCAGTCATCGAATGTGGAGCCAAGATGTACAGTATTACGTGTCTACTATTTCTATTTCTGTTGTGTCATACGGATATGATGGAATAGAATGCTTAGCACAAAAGGTGTGGGAAATTTCCAAAATATCATTCTACATTAGCTCTACATGCTAAAAGAAAAGTAAGCATTAGCTCCAAATCCCTTATATATTTATTCTAAGAAACCTGCCTTAAGTCATTGCTTGAATGTGTATATTAATACTGTAGTTTTTTAGTTCTCCCTAGGGTGTAAATAAATACTGTGCTATTGGAAGGATCCTTAGGTCACTGAAAATAATTAACAAAAAGTAACACAACTAGACAGACGTTTGCGTGTACTTTTCTTTAGGACGGGAAAAATTCAGGTCTGTCGTACTGGCAAGTTTTGTTTTTAGTACATGTGTCAAGCATATTTTTTGTTGGCATTTCCACCGTAATTTTTAAATTCTTGTGAATTCATACTGTACTGTATCTTAATTGTATTGACTTTTGAAAAGGAAATAGGCTTTAAATATATGTAATACTTACTAGCCACGTTCAGGTGATTACTGTTGGGAAATCAGGACGGTAGACAGGCTTTAGAGTTAGTGCCATGGTTCAGGGTTCACTTAGTTGTAGCTCGCCTGAATATTCTTTGATTGACTTGTTTTATAATGACAGCCTGTTTGAAATGAGAAATTATTGAAATCAGGCATTAGATAGTTGGTTATTGTGATTGAGGTATGATAATTATTCATAATATGGTTTGAAATAATCCTGTAGAAGGTATAATGTGAATATACACAAACGAATAAACACAAACCTTTGAAAAAATGGAAATTGCAATGGAAGAAAACAAAATGGCTACTGTATACAGCCCAACCAACACACATTTTATTCTCCCACATACCTAAACCTAAAACAAAAGGCAGAGGAAATCATATTGCAGAGAAAAGTGAGTAAAAAACCCACAAATTCCCAGAAGACCATATACAGTATAGTTGCTATTAGCTGGACGTGGATTGTATTTGTGAAACTTTGTTCATCATTTCACCATTAATATTTAAGTGCTCTGTCTAAAGGCATGTTCTTGGCTTTAATTTATCTTCTATCATAACTTTTTCTTTGATCGTTGTGTTTAGTTATTGATTTTATTATACTGCATCTATCAATATATTAATAATCTGAATCTGAGGTTGGCTTTACATTTTGAAACCTTTTTGATAATCAATTTATAATTCTTTCTTATTTTTATTTTCAGGTCATGGAATATTTTTACAAGATGTAACAAGGAAGGAAAAAGGAAGGAAACGTTTTCAATACTGGTATTCAATGCAATATAGATTACTGGAAATTTGTACGATTATGCAATTTGAAATGCAAGAACAAACTTCCTTTATCTTAATAGATAGCAGGTTTGTTCTTGTTGCAAAATATTGAATTACTGTACATCACTGAAGATGCAATTTACACCCTTTCTTTCCATCTGTTTGCAACCTTGAATTAAGAGACAAAAATGGGAGAGCTGAAGGTATGGGTTGATGGTCTGCAGCGGATTGTATCTGGAATCAATGACAAAACCACGTGCCAGGATGTTATAATTGCATTAGCGCACTTCATGCGGCAAACTGGACGGTACACGCTTGTTGAAAAATCATCCAGTCATGAACGACCCCTGGAACCACATGAAAACCCTTTGAGGATTATGTCGCGATGGAGTGGTGGAAGTAATCGTTTTATTATGAAAAGAACTGGTGATGTAAAAAATGGTGCTGAAAAAAGCGCAGGTAAACGAAAGCCCTTTAGACTCTGTGAGAAACACCGGTCGATGGAAAATTTAACACGACCGAAGGAAACGACGGTCAAAAGAGGAAATACGTTTAGTGGATCCTGGAACAGTCAGGTTTTGAGTAAAAAAGACATTGCCACATCAGAAAGCAAACCTTCTGCCATTGATCTTGAGAAACTCTGGGAACTTGTGAGAGAGCAGGAACAAATCTTAGAGGAGCAGTATGAAGATATGGAAGACTTAGATATTGATATCGAAGAATTATTGCCATATGAAAGTGATCCACCTACGATTGAGGATATTGAAGATCAGATCATCCAATATGAACGCACACTTAAAAAGAATGAGGCACGTTTAGAAGAGGAAGAGTTCTGGGAGGATGAGCTGGAGATGGAGGAAGACGAGAAAAACAGCCTCATTGAAAAGTTGAATAAAACCAAAGAAGAAATCATAGAATGTGAGAGAGAAATTAAGAACAATAAACAAGAAATAAAACAATTAATGAAACTGTTAAAAGCAGAAAAAGACTTGGTGGACATAAAACAGCTGGATGATAATAATATGAAAATAGAGGCAGAGAAAAGGGAATTGCATGAGGAGCTTGAAGCGCAGGATTTTGAAAGTGCTGAGTATGAGCAGGAACTTGAGGAACTCAATGAAGAGTTGAAATTATTAGAAGTTGAGTTCAAGAGAAAGATTGAAGAGGAATTAAAACTACAAAGAGATTTAGAAGAATTAGAGAAACAAACACCAGCTGAAAAATCTGAAGAGGACCAGAAGACAGATGACAAGACTGATGACGAACCAGCAATTCCGATCAAACCACAGAAGTCGTCAAGCAATCCAATTGAATGTAAGTTAGAAATTTTATAGATTGTGAAAAAGCCCTTTTAATTTCAATTATTCACGATTATGTCAAATGTCAGGGCATAAACAAACTACGCCGTATGTTTTGTCTGCATTTTATTAACAGTTTTATGAACTTTTTATAAATTGGTTTTAAATTCAACAACTGTTATATAAAAATGCAGATAGTTACAGTATTTATTACTTTGGACAAGGCAATGTTTTTAAGTCTGTTTACTGTGGTGATCTATTTTCAATCCTTATTTGAATTGTTTTGATTTCTTGTTCTTGTTTTTTTTTTGTGGAAATGACGTACATAAATTGAATTGAAATATGCTGTAATTCTGTTAGCCAACATGGTTTGACTTTTGACATAGATGTACAATTGTAACTATAGAGGGCTTATTGAATCCTTGAAACATAATTTACTTACTTCAGCACCTATCATCATCTTCCTACCCTATCATTTAATATTGAGGATTTTTTAAATTGTGATGGCCTTCAATATCAATTAACTCTATTTTTCAATATAACACACATCTATGTTATAAATTTTCAGTTCTACGTGGAGGAGTTTTGCGACGTCTCAAAGGGAGCCCCCGTGAGTTAAGTGTTAGCCAAGATGAGCCGGAGGGTGTGTTTGTGTAAAAGGTAGGCGAATAACAAACATTTGTTAAAATTTTAACTCTATCACTTGTTTATCATATTAATTTATTTATCAAACACTTTACATAGTGTATTAAGCTCGCCAGCTAAAACAAACAGGGCTAAAGGAAATTGAACTGCCTGATAATATGCTACCATACAATCAAGGTATTCTGGGGATCTTAGATTAGTCTTAATATTCAACCATTTTGGTAATATTAGGACTGGCAGCATAAGAAGTGGTTAATAGCTTGCTTTATAAACTCTCTTGGAAAAATAATTAGGGAGGGAGGACTTTTTTAGTCAAGCCAGTTTAGCAGTGGTCTAAATCAATCATATTGAACATTTTAATTAAGATAATAGTATTAACAATTAAGTACCACTTTTTGTCCAATATTTGTTGCTTTTGTTAATCCTTGCCTCCTTAGATTTACACAGTTTTATTCTGTATTGTGAGTTTTGGTTTTTTAGTTTTTATTTTACTGTGTGTACAAATTGTTGTGATTTTTTATAAAAGGCTTAATAAAAAATGAATGAATTATTTATTCCAACTTTCAATACATTAGAAACATCTTCCTCTAAGTGGTTGGATAAGGCATTAGTTGTATATTTACAAAATTAAATTTAAAATATTTTGTCATGGGATTCTGACAAGTGATGGGGTGATAATATAAAGATTTTTTTATGATGCCTGACAGTATGAATATTTCATTTTTATTTCCAGATGCATCTTAGTGAGTCCTTACCTGTCTTTTCTAATTCATGATGCATGTACAGTAACTGTTCTCCACCACCAAACAGCTTTCAATACTTTGAATTGTAGAATACAAATTTTTTAAGGTTTGCTTGAAAATATAGTTGTGTTTTTCAAAAAAAAGCCATGTTATTTACTTCCAAATATTGTCTTTTTAGTCTTTGCAAATTAATGTTTAAATTTACAGAATCAATTTATATTTGATATTTATCTCATATACTGAACCTAATGAACTTTGCTACATATATGAAAATTTTCATTATTAGAAGATGGAATTTCAATATTACGTCTTGTACATCTTTGAGAAAATTGGTTGTATAAATCTTCCAGCATGGTGCCCCTTCCTACACGTCTTCAATTTATGGCCACACTGCTTCATGTTGAAGGCTACGCTTTGTGTGTATAGCAATAACTCTTGATTCTGTGCATTTGCATAGCAAAGACAGTACAGTATATTCGGAGGAAACAAAAACTCTTGTTGATTTCCATTTATTTTAAATAAAGTTAATACTTGTTGATAGTTAATACGCAATTTTAAGGTTTTTTCTAGGTGCTGTACTTGTTCCATTGCTAATGCCAATGGTTTCATATATTTTATCCTCTTTTTATCAGATTTACTGTAAAAAATTGAAAGTTTGTAATAGAAAAGTCAACACATTTTAAGCATTATTATCAGGTTGATAAGGTGTTTAATTTACCATATTTGGTAGGCCTATACCATTAAAGCAAAATAGCAATCAGAAGGTTTTCCATTCTGGTGAATTATGGTAGTTAATAAATGTGGCCCCGAAAAAATATCGATGTTAAATGATCATTGTTCTATTCTTTTTAATAACCTTGCAACTCACAGTTTTCAAAGACATACAATTTGTGCAATATACTACAGTGTTGAAATGAGAGCATGTGTTTTATCATGGTTTTATCTCCTGCCTAAAAATATGAATTCAAAGCAGATGTTAAAATTGTATGAATAAATTTAAATTGGAAGCAGTTTAATGAAAACCAAGTAGTTTAGCTTTTGAATATGATGTCAAACCTCCCCCTTGCTGAGTTCAAAATGCCTGAGTGGGTTATTGTAAGCACATGGTTTTAGAAGAAGGCTCTGGTGTTGTAAACAAACTGCAAAACTGAAATAATATCCATAATTTTTATAAATGACAATCTAGTTGTTTTATGCCTTCACTCCTCGTCACATACCACCCTCCCTCATCCCACCTTGTATTATGACTTATTGTAATATTTAAATAATTACCGGAAACAACATTTCCGAATATAAGATTATGGTGGTAATACTCTTTTTTTTTTGCAATGTCTTTCTAACAATGCAAATGTATATTATGAATGTCAATCAGTCAATCACCTATCAATCAACGATATGATCCAGACTTTGATACTAATGTTATTTGTTCTATTATTTTTGTTATATTTTATTTTATTTAGCTCACAACATGCAATAAACTATAAGGTGTAGGAAATCAGGTGAAAGTACACAAATTCAATTACCAACTTAAGAAAGTTGGAAAATATCACCTTGGTTCAATTAAGGCCAGCTGTCTTGCTGTTATAGAAATATTTTTAAGCCTTCCAAGTTTCCACACAATGGTGAGGTTTCTGGTAATGTGCCAACATACATAAATATATAATAACAAGAATACCACTTAACATGTGAAATAAATTTAGAAAGCTCTGCCTACACCCTAAAGTTCTATGTTGAAAAATGTATGTGATTTCATATAATGGGTGTGATGATATCATATTACATTGATGGGCAAATCACTATCGTTTTTGTAACATACAACTTGTGTGTGAACTCACTTTAGGATGCTTCAAAAGCAATTCCTCCTGAATTTGATAAGTGTAACCTTCATTTAAAATGTTTGTTTTAAGAGAACTTATTTTCAGGGATGTATTTATTATGTAGTTTACTTTAGATATAAGCTATAAATTAGTTTTGTAAAATTAATATATTATTAAGAATGGTTATGGTTTATTATAATCTGACAGAAGGTTATTTTTAATTACTAAATATTTGTGCCTTTTAAAATGATTTATTTTAACTTTGTCCACACTTTCAAATTGGTGTAGAAATTACATATTTAGACATATAATGGGAAAAACACAGATACTTGTTTAAGCCTTTGCACACTATCAATATTTATGTCACAGATACTTTTGATATTGATAGTGAGTGGCATTATCATGCCCATATTTGGGCAACATAGAAAATTTGATTGTGTGGACATAGCTGTACAGATGTCAACTAAGTTAATTATGTTCACCTGCTGCATCCTGTTACTGTAGACTTGCATGCACAGGTGTTTAATTGACAACTATTAATGTAAACTGATTTGAAAATTAATTTAGACTCTGTAAACCAAAACTTTAACTTACTTTGCTACGACTCGAACCGCATTGCCTGACGAAGATCCGATGATTGGTTCAAAACATAGAAAAGTAAGTTGAAGTTTTGGTTTACTCTAAGCGAATTTTCAAATCAGTATACATAAATAGAAACCAAATGAAGTTATTTGAACAATTGTAAATGTAAATGTACTCATCATTGTCATTCTTGGTGGTCGTTATTAGTCTATAATGTGATAACATGGTATGTTACCATCATAGTAAGAGGGCCACCATCAGTAGTCCAACTTCCCGTTTGTATTGTTATTTGAAGAATTTGTTTCATGTAAATCATTTGACATTTAATAATGTTGATAATCATTAACCATTTAAGTACTACCATCCACCACTATATATTTTGCTTCAGCGTATCAAAAATAGTCTTGGCATCTGGAGGATGTATATTTTACCCCACCTCTTTAATTATCAATGTATAATAATATTCTACCCATCTGCAATTGGTATGTTTATAATTAAGTTAATTCCTATATTATTACTACTGTACAGTAGTATGTACTGTAAATTGTTTCTCCTATTTGGTTTTGTACAGTCTAGATCATTTTTCTAGATTCTTAATTTGTATGGTTTCTGATGTAAAACTAAACTAAACAATACTTCCAAGTATCCTATTGTTAGCCTTCTTAAACCCACCTTCACTGAAGAGATTTTCAAAAAATGTTGCTATAAGAGAAATCATTCTATATTTTGTGTAAAATATAAAACAGTGTTTGCCATTAAGTTGTAAATATTAGTTATTAATATTCATGATGTGAATATTCATTAGATGTAAACTTCCTGTCAGTTGTTTAATGTCACTGTAATTGTAAGTAATTATCCTGTACATTTATTTTAAGATGAATGCTCACATATTTTAATCAATAAGTAATCCTGATACAAATATATTATGACAACAAAGTTGATCAATTTCATTTGTGATTCTTTATTTGTTTTGAATCCTGTATGATAAGAACAATACAGTACCTCCCCCCCCCCTTAGTAATTATGCAATGAACATTAATAATTGCCAGTAAGTATGCAGTATACATGATTGATAAAAATTATAAATATGAAAGATTGATATAAAAGCATTGAAACACATGATTGCAATACATAATTAAAACACATGATTGAAATCCATGAATACAGTAGTGCAATTTGATAAGCAAGTTGATTTGAGAATAACTCCAGTTTGCTCAGTAGTGAATGTCACATCCATATAAAAATGTCACGATAATGTAGGAAGATTTCTGCAACAGGTAGGTATGTTTTCCTATTAGCAAAACAAGTTGTCATGCTCCTTATAGTGGTAAATGTCATGTCTGTTTAAAAAGTGTCATAATTGGTGTTTCCGCATCTGGTACTTGTTTACCTCTTCAGCAAACAAAGGTGTCATTCTCCTCAGCGGTAAATGTCGCATCCGAATTAAAATGTCATAATTGTTGGTGTTCACAATTTGCTGCTAATATTTTCTGTGACAAATTTCATATTTGTCGCTTTTAAGTGGCTGTTCCAACAATTTTATTTTCACTGTGTATATCAGCAATTTGGTTGTCATTTCAATTGCCTGGGCCCACGTCAGCAATTTTGATGTCATTTAAATTGCCTGGGCCCGCATCAGTAATCTTGTCGATTCTGTTGGCTGTGCCTACTTCAGCAATATTGGTTGTCACTTATGTTAATGTGATTTTCATTAAGGTCAAGATTAATCTGTAAGAAAATCCATTAACTATAATTTAGCATTAGGACAATTTATACAAACATAATTAAATAAATAATTATCATTTATTACAATAATTATTACAGTTTCAAATCAAATACAAAACAACATTTTAATTTTTCAATTTTATTTATTGTCACGTTATAGGTATTCATTTTATATAAAATTGATAGCTGTCTCCATGCCAGTTTTAAGTCAAATAATGCTAACCCCTAAAATAATTTTAAAAAATAGTATACAAATATTTACTGGGTTGATGGGCATTATAGCCCAGGGTGATCTGGGGGCTGTACTATGTCCCTAGACCACTACATAGATTGAAGGAATTAGAGGGCATGGCTGGAACAATTGCCTGATTTTAAACACATTAAATGCCTGGAATCTATGTAGTCAGTAAATATTGTAATAATATAACAAAGCTGCACTGTCAGTTGTCCTAAAGCCTACAATGGGTATGAGTAAAAAGTAGAATTTGCTGAAATTTGCGCAGAGGATATAAGGAGCATGCGAGCATAAATGATTTAAGTGATAACCATTAATATTTTTACCTTGCTTGGTTCTGAATGTTTTCCTCCAGGATGTTGTCTAGTTGGCACAGGTGTTATGCTGAAAGTACCAACCAACTAATGCGAGAACCCTTGCAGGAACCGAAGCGTGATTAAGAGATGTTATAACGTTGAACGTCATTAAAGGGGCCCACCACACCAACCATTAATAGGTTAAAGAGTAATAGATAAATAGAAAAAGAGGTAAGAAAAGATAGAGAAGGGGTTTTTTTTTTTTTTTTTTTTAAATACATATATACACATTTGTTACAGCTGATAAATATTGCACAATCAATTTATATTAATTAATATGATGAAATTAATGAATGAATTTTTAATGAAATATATATTTTTTTTTTTTAAGTAGAGGGTACAGTACATGACTTTCATTGCCAAATCTGGTTAGTGGCCAGGTGGTGTTATACAGCACCATGAGGCACCAAGCACGTGTTTTATCACATCGGCAGAACACCTCTATCTAGTTGTCAAAATATCGGCAGGGCACAGTGAGGCAGCATATGTTCTTTTAAACCAGGTAAGCACAGTGATGTATCTAGAAGATGTTAAACCGGCACGGCACAGTGAGGCATAGCACGTTGTGTTACACTGGTAGGTACAGTGGGGCATGCCGCAAGTTGGAATGACAGCGCTGCAGGTAGCTAGCACATGATGTTAAAATGGCAGGGCACAGAGGTATCTAGCACATGATGTTAAAATGTCAGGGCACAAAAGTATCTAGCACATAATGTTAAAATGGCAGGGCACAATGTGGTATTAAGCACATGATGTTAAAATTGCAAGGCACAGAGGTATCTAGCACATGATGTTTAAAATTGCAAGGGACAGAGGTATTTAGTATATGATGTTAAAATGACAGGGCACAGTGAGGTGTCCAGCACATGGTGTTAAAATTGCAAGGCACGATGTTAAAATTGTAAGACACAGAGGTATTTAGTACATGATGTTAAAATGGCATGGCACACTGAGGTATCTAGCATATGATGTTAAAATGGCAGGGCACAGTGAGGTATATGGTACATGATGTTAAAATGGCAGGGCACAGTGAGGTATATAGCACATGATGTTAAAATGGCAGGGCACAGTGAGGTATATAGCACATGATGTTAAAATGGTAGGGCACAGTGAGGTACAGTATATGGTACATGATGTTAAAATGGCAGGGCACAGTGAGGTATATAGCACATGATGTTAAAATGGCAGGCCACAGTGAGGTATATGGTACATGATGTTAAAATGGCAAGGCAGAGTGAGGTATATAGCACATGATGTTAAAATGGCAGGGCACAGTGAGGTACAGTATATGGTACATGATGTTAAAATGGCAGGGCACAGTGAGGTAGGTATATAGCACATGAAGTTAAAATGGCAGGGCACAGCGAGGTATATAATACATGATGTTATAATGGCAGGGCACAGTGAGGTATATAGCACATGATGTTAAAATAGCAGAACACAGTGAGGTATATGGCACATGATGTTAAAATGGCATGGCACAGTGAGGTATATGGTACATGATGTTAAAATGGCAGGGCACAGTGAGGTATATGGTACATGATGTTAAAAAACTGGGCACAGTGAGGTATATAGCACATGATGTTAAAATGGCAGGGCACAGCGAGGTATCTAGCACATGATGTTAAAATAGCAGGGCAAAGTGAGGTATCTAGCACATGATGTTAAAATGGCAGGGCACAGTCAGGTATATGGTACATGATGTTAAAATGGCAGGGCACAGTCAGGTATATAGCACATGATGTTAAAATGGCAGGGCACAGTCAGGTATATAGCACATGATGTTAAAATGGCAGGGCACAGTCAGGTATACAGCACATGATGTTAAAATGGCAGGGCACAGTCAGGTATATAGAACATGATGTTAAAATGGCAGGGCACAGTCAGGTGTATAGTACATGATGTTAAAAAACAGGGCACAGTGAGGTATATAGCACATGATGTTAAAATGGCAGGGCACAGCGAGGTATCTAGCACATGATGTTAAAATAGCAGGGCAAAGTGAGGTATCTAGCACATGATGTTAAAATGGCAGGGCACAGCGAGATCTAGCACATAATATTAAAATGGCAGGGCACAGCGCGGTATCTAGAACATGGTGTTAACATGGCAGGGCACAGCGAGGTATCTAGCACATGGTGTTAACATGGCAGGGCACAGCGAGGTACATAGTACATGGGGTTAACATGGCAGGGCACAGTCAAGTCTACATGGTGTTAACATGGCAGGGCACAGTCAGGTATGTAGCACATGATGTTAAAATGACAGGGCACAGTGAGTCATAGCACAAGTTGGAATGGCAGAGCACAGTGAGGTACCTTTTTTTTTGGCCCCTTTCACACTGCCAAGAAAAGGCCAAAAAATGAAACTACCAGATCTGTTAGTACTAGTAAGGCCAGAGAAAGTCCTTTCACGCTTGAGGAAAATCCAAAGGTTTAATGTATCATATAGGAATTACTAGGAAAAAGCCAGAGCAAGTGCCTTTTAAATAACAGGCTGCAATCTAAATTTTATTTTTAAATCCCAAAGGTGGAACATATGGCAAAATTTGTTTAAATTTATACATATGAAAAGGGGGTTAAACTCTACAAATAGTCTCATTAAATGCCCTGTCTATACAAAAATATGAGGTGAAAGTATAGGGTTCCCATATCAACTGTTGGTCATTTATAGACTTATTGTTCAGAACATGCATGTTTCTAACCCTAAATGTAACATTTTCTCCACATCTGATAGGAAATACTACATTTGACCATTGACCCTTTCTTTGCAGGATTTCCATAACTCCGTGACTACAGTCCGTAGAGAATTGGCTTTGGTCTGAAACCCATCAGATTTACATGTTTCCATTCACTGCAATGAAGAATTTTGTGCAAGTCACCAGAGCCCCCGTTCCTGATCTTTGACCAAACAGGTACGCTTTGCAGTTTCATGTAACTCCATAACATGGTCATAGAAACTTGATTTTGGTGTCAAATTGTAGAAAGAATATGTTTGTATTTACTATAGTGGAGAAGTTTATCAGAAAATGTCCAGGTAACCCCCTTTCTAAACTATGACCCAGTTAGTCTGACATTTTCTTGTAGCCTCATAACTACTGGTCAGAGAAATCTTATATCATCCAGAAGACATTTCTATCAACTTCGTAGATGAGTAATTTAGAACTTCATCAGGTAAGGTAATAAGAAACAAAAGGCATTAAGAAATCGTCGCTCACATCACCAACTAACACAATTAAATTAGATTGTGCTAGTTCGTGAAATCACAAAAGTGCGTTAAAATACGCGCAGTTGTTTTTACAGACTTTTTGTGTGTTAAAGAATACAAAATTGCTTGAAAACCAATACGCGCTCGTTTTGATGTGCTACTGTGATTTCACGAACTAACACAATCTACTTTGATTGTGTTTGTTTGTGATGTGAGCGACGAAATGAGTACACATTATGTTGTGGAAGAAGGATGTCCCACTCTAGCACTAACTTAGAGGGAATGATGGAAACCTAGATGAGATCTAAACTACAGAAGTTAAAAATTAAAATTCAATAATAATCTTAATCTGAAACCTGCTGCCTATGTTGACCATTGATTGATAAATTCACATCGACGACACCAATCTTGAAGGCTTCTGTAACTCTTGCAATGAATGTATGTAGTTGGTGTTGCAGGCTTGAATGTAGTGTAGACATTGGTGATGCCTTTACCAGATATTCAGTGTGCATGATCCATTCAGTAGCAACTTCAATTGGGCTGTTGAGGTAGTGCTTCAGCATGACCATTGAGTTTTCTGACAACATAATTTGTATGCTTTTCACCACTTTCTTGCGTACTTCAGTTCTTTAATCAGGATAGACATTCTTCAAACATGGTGGCATACTACAATTCTGCTCGTTCCTTGAAAAACTGTGGGATGATGTATCTTCCTGCTGTCTTCATCTTCAACTTCAGCAAAGCCTGATTTTGGTGCTATTTATTTCACCTTCTTTCTCAGCTCTTTAGTGCCCTTTACAGTAAGATGTTTTCTTTATTGATGCATCTTCAGCAGCAGTGACTTGGATGACAACTGGTAGGTGTTGAGTTCCGCCCAGTAAAAGTTTCTTACATGGTTAACTGTGGGATGTGGATGGTTTAGGGATGAAGAAAATTTGACTGGTGTCCAACCAATCATTCATTTAATGCTTCCCTATTTTGTTGGTCATCTTGTACCTGATCCATCGGGCGCTGTCGCTGTTGAAGCCATTTGACACTTAATCCCTCACATTGTATGTAGCTCATCATCTGAATTTTTATTATAATTATTGTTTTTGCTCCTTATATGTATACTGTAGTAATTATTGTTGTAAAATTTTTTAATCATGAATGTTTTATTATACTTTAACAAATATTTTATGACTGTTTCTGTAATGTATTGTATTTATCTACTCTGTTTTTGGCATTGGGTAAAATGAAATAAATAAAAATAAATAGGTGAATAAATGATGAGAACTACGGGTTTACTACAGCACTGGCTAGTAGATTGTGTAATTACCCTACTACAATTGGTAGTTTCCACTGTATTTGTAAATACAAGTATTTCATTTCCTCGTTATTTTCCTCTCTATTTTCCCTTAGGACTGTTTCTCCCACCCAGAATTTCCACTCATGCCTTAAATAAAACATTAAGGATTANNNNATAACTTATAATTTAATCATTTTTAGTGGGAAAATATAAAAAACAATAACATTGCAATTCACACTTTAGGCATTATTATTGATATTATTATCATTATCATTATTATTATTATATTATTATTATTATTATTATTATTATTATTATTATTTCTAAGTATTAGATATGTTCCATATCATTATATAATATTTTGTTACGTCATGTATTGAATTATGATATTTTTAAGATTAAATAACTATGAAGAAGAAATACATGGTAAATGTTTGTGCTTTTATGGGCCACCCTCTCAAAATAAATATAAACAAAAAATGTATTGTACAATTAGTGTAATGTTAAAATAAAAAGAAATTATGTATGTCTTTTTTAACTAATTACTTCTATTATTTTCTATATAGTACTATTTAGTTTTTGAACTATGAAAGTAAGTTGTTTCCATTTAGCTTTGCATAACTTATTTCCATGTTATAGTATAATTATATTGCCTTAACAACAAGAAATAAATTAATATAGAGAGGAAATAATATAAACCTAGTTTTGTGTAGTACTACCCTCTCGAATTATAGTTGCAATAATTGCTTTTAAATTTATTGTAGAGCAAAGATTAAATTAAATTATGTAACCCATGATGGTTTTATTTAATTTGGAGGAGGGGGGAATTTGTCCTAGGGAAACAAACCATTGGGAAAAATATCATAGTAGAAAATAGCCACAGGGATGAAGTCCAGGGAAAAATATTTGGGGAGGGGTGAGGTGAGTAGACTAGCCATCTAAACTACTCATCAATGAAGTGTATAGAAATGTTAGTGTGTACTAAATGTTATGGAATAGCTTCTGAATGATATAACATTTGATGAGTAATTAGGTGCTATGAAAATGCAGAGTACATAGATCATTTGTTAGAAAGGAGACTTTAGCTGGTCATGTTCTGATTCGCCTCTCTATTAAAGTGAATAGCAACATATACCTTCCTGACAATTTGAGACTAAAATCAGGTCTGTATGACCAGTTGTTATGGAGTTACATTAAAATTGCAGAGTGACCTGCTGGGTCAAAGATCAGTAAGAGGTCTCAGATGACTTTTGCACAATTCCCCATTACAGTCAATGGAACATGCATCTGAAAGATTTGAGCTCAAAACCAAGTCTCTACGGACAGTAGTCGCAGAGATATGGAAATCCTGCAAAAATAGAGTCAAAGGCCAAATGAGGCACTTCCAGTCATCTGTGGAGCGAAGGTTACATTTGAGCAAATTGAAACATGCATGTTCTGTACATTTTTTTTTTAAGCAACTCTCTATTGTGACTGGCAGTGTAAGGGAACCCTATACAGTATTGTTATAACATACTGTAATTTGCACAATTAAGCTGATTTGCATATAAACAGGGCATCTGACCAAGGTGTGATATCAAGAAATTGTGACATCCTTCATCATAATAATGTGTTGATTTTTTTGGTTATACTTTAAAATTTTGATTGCCTAGTTTAATCACCCTTCAACTATCAATCTCTAGCAAAATGTCAAAGCAAGTATTTTCACTCTTCCTGAAAAGCTACAATATTGAGCCTATCATATCTAGCAACATGTAAATGTTAATTCTTCTTCAGGTAAGGCAAATAATGCACCTATAAAGGTATCAAATCTATAGAAGAAGTTCAGTCAGAGAAAATTATTTTCCCTACAACTAGCTAGAGGCCTCTAGAAAAGGCAATAGAGAATGTCAGTACATTTAAACCCCAAACAATAATAGGCTGCAGAATTAGGTTTTGAAAAATTCGGCAAAAAACTGAAGTGTGTGCCTTTTAAACCTCTAATAAAAGGTCATGAAATGTGCCTTAAAGTGCCAGCAACATGCGGAGAATGGTCCTTTAAAATTTTAGTCAACAGGCTTGAGAATGTGCCTTTAAACCGCTGTTAAAAGCCCAGAAAATGTACTGTACCTTAAAACCTCTAACAAAAGCCTAGAGAATGTACTTTTAAAACCTCAAGCAAAAGGCTGGAGCATATGCCTAATCCCTGGCAAAGGCCAGAGAATATGTCTTTAGACCTCTAGCAAAAGGGCAGAAAATGTGCTTTTAATATCTCCAGCAAGAGGCCAGAAAATGTATTTTTAATATCTCAAGCAAAAGGCAAGAGAATGAATGTGCTTTTAATACCTCCAACAAAATGCCAGAGAATGTGCTTTTAATACCTCCAAAAGGCCAGAGAATTGATTTTTATACCTTTAACAAGGCCAGAGAATGTGCTTTTAATATGTCCAGCAAAAGGCCAGAGAAGCGTGTGTTTAATACCTCCAGCAAAATGCTAGAGAATGTGCTTTTAATACCTCCAAAAGGCCAGAGAATTGGATTTTTATACCTTTAACAAGGCCAGAGAAGCATGTGCGTTTAATACCTCCAGCAAAATGCCAGAGAATGTGCTTTTAATACCTCCAAAAGGCCAGAGAATTGGATTTTTATACCTTTAACAAGGCCAGAGAAGAATGTGCGTTTAATACCTCCAGCAAAATGCCAGAGAATGTGCTTTTAATACCTCCAGCAAAAGGACAGAGAATGTGCTTTTAATATACCTCCAGCAAAAGGCCAAAGAAGTTGCTTTTAATACCCCAACAAAACGTCAGAGTATTTTCCTCTAAAACATACAGGAAAAGGCCAGATATGGCATTTTTATCCTCTAGCAAAAGACCAGGGAATTTTCCTCTAAAACATTTAGAAAAAGGCCAGATAATGTGCCTTTAACCCCTACAGCAAAAGGCCAGAGCATGTGCTTTTAAAACCTCCAACAAAAGGTCAGAGAATTTTCCTCTATTAAAACATCCAGCAAAAGGCCAGATAATTATGCTTTTTAAACTTCCAGCAAAAGGCCAGAGAATTTTCCTCTAAAATATCTAGCAAAAGGCCAGATAATTGTGTTTTTTGAAACATCAGCAAAAAGGTCAGAGAATTTTCCTCAAAACATCCAACAAAGGCTAGAGAATGTACTTTAAAAATCATTTTTAAAAAGCTAGAGAATGTACCTTTAAAACCTCCAGCAAAAAGCTAGAAAATATGTGTTTTTAAAACCTAGGAAAAGCATGTACTGTACCTTACTTTAAAAGCAATTGATTTACATATTTTAGTTTAAAATAATTATATGTTACTATTATAAATAAACATTTCAAGATTTAAATATATTATATATCTGTATATCAACTACCAAAACATAATTATTGTTAGTTATTTAAAATACTCTGCCAGTCGCAAATATAACACAAAATTAAGAATGAATTTAGTGAAAGAGAAAAGAATGTAAAATAGAATAGATTAGAATATATGAATACAAAAGATAGAAGAGGAGGTTTGAATCCTACAAAATGGTGGTGGTGTTGGTGGTATTGGGCCCCTTACATTCACCTTGCAAAGCGTACGGAATTACTCCGTACGCTTATTGTTGCTGGCCTTTTGTGGCCCACGCTTCTTGGTTCCACACAGCTTTTTTCCATGGATTGATTGGTTGAATTTTTCCATGGTGGTTGTTTCGTTTTTGGTGGTCTTATGTCGAGGCTGCTTAGTTTGAGGTGGAAGCTGAGTAACTGTTGGTAGTGTTGTAAGCTTTGTTGCAGCTAAGCTGTGGACGACGTTGCTTGGGCCTAAGCTGTTGACCTTGATTGGTGGTAGGTTCTGGATGCGGATTGGTATATTCACAAAGCCATTTGGTGGGCCAATGTGGCATTGTTGACTTACAGACTTACATGGTGTGGTCTTGGATTTCTGAGCACATTTCTTGTTAGAAACTTTTTTAAGCTTCTTTGCTTTGCAGTTGTTGATGGCAGATAAGATAGAATTTCCAAGTTTCACTTCACGATCGCCTGTATGTACAAAGGTCTTTCCCTTGTTCTGGTCAAAAATTAAAACTCTGTTGTTTGTTTTGATCTCTCCATTCTCTAGGTGTTCAAGTGTCATGACTTGGGATGGTTTTCTGCTTAACTGTTGGAAGCTCTCCATTGACTCGATGTCTCTAGCTATCTCGGTTTTTCGCCTGTTAAGTCGGTAGATTATGCCATGGTTAAGAGCATGGTTGCGCAGGAGAACAGCACGATGGAGGTTGCTGTCTTCTGGGAAGGACCATTCACTGTCAAAGAAGCAGTCAAAGTCCAAGCGATCCATCATACGCTGAAGAGAGTCCTCAGTGATGTCACGGAACTTCTGAACCTTCTCTCTCACCTAGCAGAAATATAGTTTGATGATTTAGATTCCATTGTTTTTAGTGTATAAATATTAAAATTATTTTTTTTTTCTTCCTTGTCAATGCTCTATTATTATTAATACATTTCATAACTTCTTTATATTCATATTATTAATAGTTATCACATATTTTATGTTTCTCTAGTAATTTTAATGGAAAATTGTCAACAATGAAAAAACTTTTTAATGCCAAAGTAAATGTTTCTACCTTTGCTTCAGTAACTGCCTGAATCTGTGGCAAGCATTTTTTGCTAAGAGACAGAAAGTCAACATGCTCCTCCTCACTTTCCTCCTCATACTGAATTTCAGGTGAGTTGTTGATTCGTCCTAGTGAATGAAAATTATAGAGTAAATAACAAAATCAAATAAATAATATGTAGTAAATGTTGACTTGTTTCTTATGTTTCGTTATAATGTTCTATCTTTTTGAAAATTATATATTTGAATTCATTGGTGTGATTATTATGCTGGTTAATTATTATTTAATAGATATTGCAAACGTACCGGTGTTACTGTCAGATGATTTATTCGAGATTGGTGGCAGCAGTCGTTTAGTTGACAGATTCAATTCCAGTTCAGAAACCGATGGAAGGTTCAACTGAGCACGTGGCAACTGTAATGAAATCAAATTTAAGTAAAATTAATATCAGAGTTTTTCTTTTGTATTTCTTAAATTCAAATTTCCAAACACATAGAAGTAATATTATACCACAACGTTAAATTTAAAATTGTGTATCCAGATTCTGATCCTGATATAGTTCTTTATTAACTATGATTTATACAAACCTGATGAACATATTCAATTTGAAGTGGACTTAACAAAAAATGTTTTTATTATCAATATTAAAAAAAAATTATAAATGCCTGAAAATTTTCATGCTGATATTAATGTGATTTGTTTGTTGTTATTGATTACTGAGTAAATTGATAATTGTTGCCTTTTATCTATGGACCTTTCCTGCTCCTTGGATATTGTTGCTAACGGCCAAAAAAATATAGCGTAAACATTATTATGTAAACACATGCATTCATGGGACGTGGAATGCTCCATTCAGATTCGCCAGCATCAACAATCTGTGCTATGATAGCTCCATCCACTTTGTCACCTTTTGAATTTTTCAGTTAGTTATGATACATAGGCTTACAGTATATTTATTGCTACTAATAGATTAATAATTATTATAAATGAGGAGATGTCACATAAATGGAAGTTGTATTACTGTAATACTTGCGTATAAGACAAGGCTTAAAACAGCAAATTACGAGGGGGTCGTCTTGTATGCGCAACATACAAATATTAGATTTTTAAAATTATGTTCATCTTATGTGCGGATCATCCATAACATGCGAATTTACTACTGCAATGAACCTACTAAATGTTATTATGAATGAATGCAATTTTAAATACTGGGAAATAAGATTTTGAATAACATGGTATTATTTTGAATATTAGCCTTACATTTGGCTCCGTGTTTAGCCAGCTAGATGCAGTATCAAAACGATAAAGAGCAGCAAAAAGTATGAATTTCAATGGTATACGCCCGAAATACTTGTCCAAAAACCTTCTTAAACTTGGGGTTCATCTTATATGCGAGTATATATGGTATTTTTTTACTTACCCTTTCAAGTTTGCGTCCATGCGCCTGCCTGGAATTGTTGTCCAGTGAACTGCATCTCCTGACGGGTACAGATGGTTTCAACAGTGCGGATGATGAGGCATCGTTAGTTGGTCGGGTGTCAATTTTGAGTAAGTCTAGTTCAGGTTGGTGGTGTTTTGACTCTCCATCATTGGCTGCGATTGCAGCTGGGGCACTGGATGACGGTTGGCCCTTTTTGGTGGAGGTCTTGTTCATGTATTGTGGAGTAATGATCTATAAGAATGAAGACATCAAATGAGCCAAAATGAAGTTAGTGAAATTGTTTATGTGATATCATTACTTATTTCTCATTATTTTCTGCTTATGTTTTTTGTAGTTTATATATTTAAAAAAAATTTAAATAAATGAATTGAATTGAGATTTATGTAAATGATTTGTATTTTGTGTGTAAATGCATGCAATTTAGCCTACAGGCATCAAGATGCCTTGTATTAATTAAAATTTAATTAAGGTAATTTATAATCATGCTGTACTAAAATAAATCATATATTTATGCAATCATAAATATAACAATTTTTTGCATTCTTATGTATTATTATTTTATTATATACAGTGTTATATCATTAAATAAGTTCTTGATATAATTTAATTAATGTTTTTAAATTGTTCAGTCATTTTTTGCTTAGTAAAACAGTTTATTCCTATGTTTTAAAATATGTTCATGAATAAATATATATACCAGATTACATAATTGTGAGAAAGTGTAGTAAAATTTGTATTTATTTCAAATGTTTGAAGATACTCACCTTTGGTGGTTGAAGTTCATGGTTTGTTGAAGGATCAAGTTGGATGTTCCTGTCCAGTCGAGTGACTTTCTTTCCTTGAGCAAACATCGGCAAAAGATGCTGGCGTTCCTTCAAGGGTGGCAGGAAGCTTGGGTTATACACAATGGGAAAGGTACTCTTCCTATTGATAGGGTATTTTCTGCCCTCGTTCTGTTTAGATGAAATTGACTCAACCACTTTGGCTGGGGGTGGAGTTGGAGGCTTAGTTGGAGGTGGGCTCGGTGATTTGTAAGTGCCAATATCCTTGTCGACTGATGCATCAGCAATTGAGACACCTTTGACAATCGGCGGAAGTACTGGTGATCGGAGTTTGCGTCCCCACCGTTGAGGAGTGTTTCTTCCACTCTTTGGTACCGAAGGTGGTCGTGGTACTTTGCGTGGTGGTACAGGTTGCAGGACTGTCACCTTGTGTCCACTCATTTCAAGTAGATTGTTCCGTGCATCGGTGCGAGGCGTGGATGGGCATGTGATGTCAGGTGATTCAGACTGATCAATCAAAGACTGTTTCAGTTTTGAAATGTCTTCTACTATGTTCTTGTCTACCTGGTTCTCAGACTCTTGCAGATCAAATCTACAAATAATTGATCGTGTGTTTCTCCATTAGACATGACAGTAATTATTTAGAATATTTTTATACACATTTTCTCAAAACATTATTATCAATACTGATTATCAACTACAGTACTTATAAACTATAAATGAATTTGATAAATGAATAAATAAATAAATGTATGAATGAATGTATACATGAATGAATGAAGTAAAGAAGAAAGAAATGAATAAATAAAAAATTTAAAAACTTACTTCTTGATTGCATCTACGGGTACAAGGCATGACTTTGACAATTGTGGTTTGTCAAGTAGCTGGTCGCCTCTGTCATCCCCAGGCCATTGGAAGTTCCGGGCTTGGACAGCGGTTTTAGCAGCTGATGTTTCAAGCCGACTTTTTGCACTCTTTGGTGCTGATTTTAAGTTAAGGCTGTTTTGGCTAGTGGCCATTCTGAGAATCAGATGTTATATCTGTTATTTAAATTACAAGAATAATTCATTTGATATCTATTACTTGTTTGTTTACTCATTTATTGTAGTAATAGTACATTAGTTACATTACTAACACTGGTATTTAGTTACATTACTAACACTGCTATTAGACGTTTCAACCCATTACTTAACAATGGACTGAAAGCATCAAAAGAACTATCATTGTTTACCTAGTTCTCACTTTCAGTTGTTTATTTCATCACATCATTTAGCTTGTTTATTGATACTTTATTACTTAATCACCAACACTTAATTCTGAATCTTATTGGCTACATTACTGACTGTTTCTCATTGGTTAATTTTCTGTAACACTTTTGGAATATATGTTTGTAATGTTGGAATCTTTATTCATTCCTGATGATGATCTAATAAAAGATCGAAATATTGAATCAAAATGACTAGTCTCACTTTATTTGGAGTATGTTTTATACTAAGTAACACTGGTAGTTTAGCCAACTTTCTTAGAACGACATTTGGCCATTTTATGATTATTGTGTTACCGAGGCATATTTGTTTAAATAATGTATAAATATTAATACAGTATAGGCCTAATAACAATAATGAATCAAACAAAAATATAAATTAAAACTATAATGACAATTGTACAGCATTGGTAGGCATAAGCTAATACAAAAAATATATGATAATTAACATACAATAAACTTCATTATGACTATAAAAAGAAATATATAACTTATTATTTTTGTATACTGTTTTATTCTAAAATTTGAATAAAATGTCAAATTGAAACAAAGCCCACACACTGGTGCAAGTTTGCCTGATGACAAAGAGATTACTTGAGCCAAGAACGCAAAGTAGTGGTCACAGTCTTTGTATTTTTAAGGTCGTGTCACGACTAACACCTTCTCATTTAAAAACAAATTAATTTACGAGACGCGACTACACTTACTTCCTTTTCAATTTTTTTTTTAGTCAAGTTGCAACATACATTTCTCATTGAAGCAAACACATTTGCAATTTCATTTTTCCTTTTTAATTAATTTACGAGTCGTGACTACACTTTCTTCTGTTTTTTTCATTTCTTTTTTTACAGTTGAGTCGTGACTAGGCCCTAATATTTCTCAAGAAGGAAGCTAAAGGCGGAGGCGAGGTGGGGAGGGGATGGGAAATGTATTAAATTGAATAGGCCTAGGCCTATGATAAATTGAAAGAAGGATGAATGGATATGTGTATAATACAGTCGTCCTTGATTTGCCATTTAAATTGTGTTTTGAGATTATTGTTACACAGAGCAGTCAAGATCCACACAACAGATGATAGGCCTAGGCCTACTAGGCCTACATGAATGTGAAAAAAATGGTGGTCATGGAATAGGCCCTAGGCCTATGATTATTAATTATTCTGATTATTAACAGCTTAGACGAAAACAATTTCGGCATATGATAAACAGCAAGTACAAGGTGATTTTGGCCTCACTAGGCTAGGCCTACTCAGACCGCATTCGTTATCGTGTGCGGCGCCTAGGCCCTAGGCCCTAGGCCCTAGGCCTAGTTACGTACGTACGTACCGGTCATCAATACATTGGAGAATTTAGATTTTTTTTTTCTACCATTTCAAAGTTTGCATTATTAATCAAATTTAGCAACATGTATCCATAAAAGTTGTTTAAATAAGTTACAGTCATGTTCTGTGTATATCAAATAAAGAAGCTTACTGTTTTATTGTTTCTCTGTAGACAATTTCTCCGCGCTAAATAATTTCAAGAAGTTTGTGTAGTAAAATGAGAAACCAGGGTAACCATCATCGCAAGTTCATGTCCAGTCAAACTTCTGACCAATCAGAAGAGGGCCAGGAACACACGTGGCTGTCTCACCACAGCAACCATATATAATGGGCGGGGCTTAGTGGAAGGTCCGTACGCGCGTATGAGTGCCAATTGTGTGCGCGCGTACGAGTGCCAATTGTGTGCGCGCGTATGAGTGCCAATTGTGTGCGCGCGTATGCGCTGTATTTTCTGCGCATGTCCTAAACTGATCCTCTCTAAAAAATTATCTTGAAGTTCAACTTGAATAAACCTACTACAGTAATATACTAATAGTTTAAATAATTAAAATGTAATAGGCCTATTATTATATTATTTCATATCTATAAAATCTTATCTAGGAATGTCTAATAAAGAAAGTCTAGCGATCAGTGAACAGTATCAACGTGAATTGACCACACATCGTACGTACGTGGGCCAAAGACCGACGTCGTGCATATGTTGTGTATGCTATTAAAAGGAAATTATAAATCTATTTCAGAAGTTTTGTTTTTTTTAAAGTATTATAATTATGTATCAACCATAACAGTTATTAAACAATTCACAGTAGTGTATTACGCATTTCTAACTGAAGAACTTACGTTTTAATTGTTTTCTGTGGGCAATTTCTTGCGTGGTTTCAATTCAACAGGTTTGTTTAGTGAAATGAGAAACCAGGGTAACCAACCATTCGCAAACACGCTACGCATAATTCTGCGCTTTGTTTAGAAACCAAGGAGACAGACTATATTACACACGCGTATGTTACTATGTATACGCGCCCGTTTTGCCGTATTTCCTGCGCATGTCCAACTGACGTACGTACATACGTACAACGTGTTGTTATGAATGTCACGGTGTGCTTACGATCAATAAAATCTAGAAAATATATTTTCGAACCTTTCTCTTTTTGAAGTTTTTATTATTTATGTAAAGTTAGTTTCATATAATCTATAAAAGTTATTGAACAAGTTACAGTAGTGCATTACTTATAAATAAGTAAAATAACTTACTTTTTAATTGTTTTCCACAGACAATTTCTTGTGTGCTGTTTATTTCAACAAGTTTGTTAGTGAATAACAAACCAGAGTAACCAAGCATACCATCATTATGTTGTCATGTGCGCATGCGCATCACAGTGATCGTGCGCGCGTATAATGCCGCATTGCACATGATCAAAACTTACTCAGCGCATTTTCAGATGTGCTTATTACAAAAATAAACTTGCTTTACACCTTTGTTTATTTTACAGTTTTATTTGGATTACTGTGTTAGTGCAGTATTAAATATAAAGCTATGGTTTACTAATAAATATTATAATGATTAATGTAAAGAATTATATTTTTAAGGAAATATTATCGCACTTTGTTGCATCTAAAAGTGTCAGCATGTAGAATTGCACTAGTGTGAAAGCACTCACAGAAATCTTCAGATTGCACTTTTAATTATATATCTTATACTCTGTCTAGATTATTCATTTTTCTTCGACAAAAAACTGTTGTATGCCCATACCGTAAAACCTTGAATAGAAGCCCTATGGGCTTAATCCCGAGAAGAAGCTGCCCCCCCACCCCCCAACTTTAGTATGAAAAATTAATCTAATAAAAAAAAAACCCCCATCTCAAACAGAAGCCCATGGGCTTCTATTCAAGATAGTACATGCTTCTTTTCATATGATTTAATGTAAATGATTTAATGCCAGTTACACTCGATGATACAAACTGATGTTCTCTCTGATTTTGTGATTGGATAAAAATATTCTACTCTAATTTAAACAAAATTATTTTCTTGCTTTTTTAAACAAGATTTCATAGTTGAAAAATGTGTATAGTCCTCTTATTGTTTATAGTAACATTTCCCAAAATTTAAAGTAATCATTTAGAAAAGCCCCCCCACCACCTCTTTACTTTGCTAAAGTGGTCTCAAAAAGAAGCCCATCCAACAGTCCTAACAAAGAAGCCTAGGCTTCTTTTTGAAGTTTCAGATTCAGAAGTTATTTGTCTTTATATTCAACAGTATTGCCATGATGTGGCTATATGGACATGGTGTGATGTCATCATGACCATATTTAGGCATGGCAAATATTTTTTGTCAAAAAAAGTTTGATAGTCTACACAGAGCCTTATGTATTGTCTAAATAATAATAATAATAATAATAATAATAATAATAATAATAATAATAATAACAATAATAATGTAATAAAATATTATATGAAATAAAATAAAATTGTGTCATAAAGCACACTTTCATTAATTTTCTAAAGCCTTGTTTTCATAAAATTGTTACTTTTACAGCACTGCTGAAAGATCATAGCGATAGCATGTAGCGATTTGATGAAAACCAGGTTTAACACATACCACAAGCCCACTGCAGGCACACACCTGAACACACCCCAACACACACACAGTAAACAGAGACTGACAAAATGATATCTCAGGATAACTACAATATCTGATATAAATAATTCCATTGATTTTTTTTTATTGTGACAATAACTGGGCTGGACATTTTTCTTTTATACAACACAATAGTATAAGACCTAGTGTAAGAGTAGTAGTATTAATAGTAGTAGTTGTTGTATTGTACAAAATAAGGATCTTGACAATGAATAGTTGGTTATTATACAGAACATTCACTTATAAAAACAAATTTACCAGCCCTTACACATAAGCAAGCCGGTTTTCAGCAATAATACAACATAAAATACCTAGGCCTACAATTTGTGTATATACCGTAATGTACAATTTATTAATATTAAGAACAATTGTTTTTAATACGTAGTTTTTAAAATGCTGCCATTTTTTGACAGCATTCTCTGTCCGTCCTTTGCTTACTTTTAATATTGTCACACAGCGAATAAAGAAAAAAAGGCAACATTTTAAAGCTTGAATGATTTCTCTCTTACTTTCACAAATATTTACTATGATCAAGGGATAATGGTATGCAGTAAGCTATAACTTTTTTTTAGAAAGAAAGTTAAATACAGCTATAAGTTTCAACTGACTAATATGTCCTTATACGAATGAAAGATTAAGTAACTGGCATTACACACAATAACTTTTAAATCAAACCATTTCATTATGTTCTACATTTGAAACCTCCACAATACAGTTAATTATTGTACTGTGGAGATATGGAGAATGGTGGCTAATTAATTATATTTTGTGTAGTACAATTTTGGGCACAACAAATGCTCCCTGAGTTCAAAAGTTCATTTCCGACCACAGTAACAAAAAAGAAAAAGACATTTTTTCAGTAAAATTGATTGGCAATGAAATAAATAATTTGACCTATTAAAATCAGTACAATAATCATCTGTATTATAATCAAACCACATGTATTGTAATCACGTATATTATTATATATCATTATATGATCAAAATGGCATTAATAATAATAATGCGACATTTATATAGCGCTATTTTGTTAAGATCAGAGCGCTTACAGGAGAAAAACTTGAAATATATAAGCCAAACAAACCTATCAGATTTTGTCAATAAGACTCATCAGGCAATGTATACTTGTTTGATTGTGTATGTTTCTTTCAAACATATCTGATCAAACAAGTTATGCACATATCTATGTATGTTGAAAGTTGAACAGTACTTTTAAACCCCTCTCCAAATGATCAAATTTGACAAAAAACTGTTGCATAACCACAGTTATGATGTGCCTATATAATAGTCATGAAGTCTGAACAATACTTTTTACTATCAGAAAAGGTCTGATCTAACATACTATCTGTTGAGTCTTACCGGAAAAAAAAAAAATCTGATGATTACGATTAATTAATTCAATTTGAAAACTGCACTCGTTACAATAATAATTATAATAACTTTGAAAAGTATCATGTAATAGTACCTTGATATTGGGTGATAATATTAATATTGAATGATAAGATGAGTTTGTCATTTCCTTCGACAAATGCTTAGCAAATCCTGTCCATTTGTTTTTTCTACTGCTGTGCCATTAACAAGCATTATCGCTAGTGGTACTGCCCCCTGAACAAGCATCATTAAAGGGGCACCATCTGGCACATCATGCATAATTAGCTTACTTCAAAATTATCACTATCTAAATTCTAGAATATTCTCTGAACCAGCATATTTGAAATGAGAACCAAAATGAGCAAATGAAGCAGGTTAATCCATTGCACTTATATACAGTACTTACTGTACAGGTACCAATGTACACAGGCTTGTTTAAAGGTGCAACCCAAATTAAATGTTGCGTAAATATGAAATTGAAGTGTATGTACATCATCAATTAAATTGAATCGTGAAATATAATAGCGATTTTTTTTTTTATCATCAGCAACTCATTTTTCTTTACAAAAAACGAAACTGCAATCTTATCATAAATGCTTTGAAAACTTAGATGAAAGCACTACTATATTCAATAGACTGATGGTATAATATTTAATTTCTGTATTGTAAGTTGTTTTGACTTTAATTGAAATATTAATACACTTTTTCTTTAATGGTAGAATCTTGTAATACATTGATACAACACCTAAATAAAACAAAATTTACATGTAATTTAAGATTTGTGGTTTGTCCAGCATACCAACACAGCTGCTGGTTAAAACAGCAAAATGTAGAGTACGCAAATAAACAGTGATCCTGTTAGTCTGTGAGTGTGATACCAGGATAAAATGAGATGTCCATTGTCCCCTGATAAGAACATCCCTAAAAAATAATAAGATAATCCAATACACTGTGCACCATTAAGAATGCCAAAAAACCATGCCTCATTCCATTTCCTCTTTTTAATGTCGGAGATGCAATTAAAGCATTTTTTTGTTTATTCACAAAACAAATATTCAGATTGTCTTTGATGGCATTAAGAAAACATAAATAAAAGAAAAGTAGATGAAGTAGAAAAGGATGCAACCAGACACACAATGACAGCCCATCAGCGCAAGATAGCCACAACAAAAATACATCAATATATAAATATAAAAGATATCTAACGCTAACACAACAATATTCCAGTCAAACCGACAACAAGCATCATCAACTTGACTGCGTTCGTTCAAGCATACCATTTGTGATTGTAATTTAACCAATCACAAACAAGACATTATTGATAAGAGCCACGGACAGAGTGGAGATTTAGCATAATACGCTACACAATTACACACATACCTACAAAATTGGTAAATGTAAGTCAAAGAGGGGAAAGCATCAGGTAGAGAAGGGAGAGAAAGAGGAAGCTAGGTATGACGATTTTAACATCAGTATCAAAATACAAGGATTATTTAGGCAAAAATTTCCAATTCATACAATTGCTACAAAATCAAAATATTACAATAGTTGGCTGACATACCAATTCAATTTGATTTCCATTTATAGGTGGGGCCATTATTATTTAAAGGCCATTACAAAGAAAATACTGGAAGGTAAAATGTTTCTTACATGCTTAGTAAGAAACATGGAATTCACTCACAATATTTTAGGGAGCGAATAAGTTTACTTTTCTTCTGTCCTACCTACCATATACTGGTAGACAGTGGAACACTACAATTTTAATATTTTTTTCCCCACATTAGGCTAGTCACTGAACAGCCACACAATACTACAAATTGATCAACATTACCCACAATTCGATTTGCTTCTGCACCATACATCTATTTATCTGACATCATCACCATCAGCATCACTTTTATCATCATCATCATCATCATCTTTACCATCCCCCTCTCCATATTACTTAATGCTACATTCTTTAAGCACTGTTTTGATTTCCCTACAAACTATTGATTCCTGCTGAAGTGTTAACAGTTGTCACAGTAACAACATCACTTTCTTTTTTTCTCATCCTTGGTACCGCCAGTAAGGCAGGTGAGTTCCTTGAACTTGACAACACTTGGTGTGCTCTCCTCATGGCAAAAACCAAACAGGATAAAGGTCTTCTCGTCAAGTTCATTATGCTCTCTGTGTGCATCATTCATCTTGGTCCAAAATTTTATGCCGTTTCCTGCACGAAAATAAAATTCAGTTTTACATAAATTGCAAAGGGATTCTCAATATCTTCCTCGTCACTTTCATCACCATTCTCTTCCATTAAGAACCAGTGTGGACACCAGCAGGGGAAAGAGAATTCCCCCACAAGACAGGCCTAGACCCCGTAGTCCAAAGCCACGATGAAGTCGTCGGATCAAAATTACAGTAATAATTTTTAAAAACGAGGCTCTAGTATTGGACCCCGATCAGGCATGTGGGACCCCCCCCCCCTCGACAAATTTCTGGAGCCACTGCTATTAACAACCTATTGACAAAAATCAATGCCTTGTCTTCAACTCACCTTAACTTCTTGTCAGCATGAGTAGTTATTGATATTCCCCGTGGAAGAACTCATCTTTGGGCTAGCTTCCGCTGAGCCTAATGCAGGAATGGAGGTGGACCTTACATTAGCCATCCTGTTAGTGATGGGTAATGTGGCCGCATGGTAAGCCTCGTATGCCTCTAATTGTTGGGTTGGTGATGCACTGATCTCTATAGGAGCCCGTTCTTTCCCCTTCTGACCCGGAGGATCCTTCGGTTTTAATTTCTTACGCCATGATGGTCCTCTTCGAAATTTTGCACTATCACTCTAAAAAAATTCAACCAATAATGAGAATGAGAAATATTTTCTTGTAGTGAGTGGAAGCGGTTTAGAGCAGCGGGAACGGTTTGGTTTCCCAATCTCTAGGTCAGGGTTTCAATCCCTTGCTGTGCACTTCACTTGTGTCCTTGAGCAAGGAACTTTATCTGTGTTGCTTCTCTCCACCCAGGAGTATAAATGGGTACCTGGTGGGGTTAAGCATGTGGACTCAATGACCAGGGAAAACAAAGCGCTTTGTAACCTAAAGGAAAGGCGCTATATAAATACCAAGTAACAAGTATTTGCAGAAATCAAACCTAGAACCAAGGGAAAATAAGGTAAGTATCATAACTAGCCAGCTACAACTCCACTGTAATCATTATCACTTACTTCGTCTATCCTACGATCTGTCCCAAATGACAATAAGTTGTTAAATTCTCTTTCTAATATCTGTCGCGCTTGACTTGAGACTGGTATTTGAAGTGCTAAAGCCAAGGTGCTGTGATCAAACGTGTCATCCAGCGCAATCAATGCTCCGTGAACACCGCTTTCAATCAAGTGATTTGCAAAGTCCCGTAAACCAATTGAAATAATCCATTTGATGAGACGATCATTACTCCATACAAGTACATCTGCACAATGAAGAATAGAATTTAAAAATATTATCAATTCGTAATGTTTTGAAATACAGTGGTTGCTAGCACATCATTGTCTACATTGGGTAAGAGTAAGACAAAATATCTACTCTTCACAGATGCAAACAGAAAATGAGTTCTCTAAATATTCTTTGTTTCAAAGACATTTTTGATGAGCTGAAGAACTTAAAGGCTGTTTTCCACTAGGTGAATTTATTTGCGTGAATCAAGAGCGTCAGTTCATCGCATTCACATTTCTATCAGAGTTTTTTGCTTCAGCGAAATCAGTAGTTCGAACTGTTTTTACTTTTTGCGAAGCGAAAAAATCTGCAACCAATCAGAACTCAGGAAGAGAATCAACGTTTTCGATTAGCACAAATAAATTTGCCTAGTGGAACACATCCATAAAGTTCAATATTTGAATTGCATATTTTGTACCTAAAGTAAGTTACTTGCACTTAATTTAAAATAAAGAAAAAAACAATTTCCTAGCCAATTAACATACACATTAATAATACCATTCCTATATTGAATAGGCTGGTATCAATATAAGGGTTCCATAGTAAAAGTCTGTAATCAGTAAATAATGTTTGTTAATAGCTGTTTCGTATTGGAATTGATAACTTATTGGATCCTGTTAAACCTGCAATTAATGTTTCATAGAATGTTTAGGTGTTTCCCCTAGTTTTACTACAGACAGTATGTCATTAATTTTCATTAACGTTGAACCAAAATCATATTTCAATCTCATTTGTTCAAGGAATCAGATGAGTTCATTTAAGGTAAAAAAAAATGTATTCTTCATCATAAAATGTTGGAAATTCATGATCCAATACAAAATGCACAAGAAATATAAATATATAATTGTTCTATAAAAGGAATTAGGTTAAAAAAAATTGTCTTTTCATATATATACACGTATAAAATTATGTTGTTTCTGCATTTATTCATAATGCACTTCATATCATAGAGTTATTGAGGCTTATTTCTCTTACCTTTAACTTCACCAGCACTTTCTTCTCTTCTCCTTTCGAGTTCCTTACGATCATAGTTTAATTTCTTCAGACACAGTATTCCATATGAAAAACTTGTCCTATTTATCAAATAGACATAAAAAGAAATGTATTACAATCCTTGGTAAAGAGATACAATATAAAGTAACCTGATTGACTTTAGTTTTGTAACTAGGAAATTCAGACTGGGTTATGTGTACCACTAGCATCAGTGTACCACCACTACCACCTCTGGTGGTAGATAACAACCAACTGGATTATTCGGTAAGTATACTACAATCATTAACATGCATATGTGGTATGTTTTACACAGAGTGTTCTCCACAGGGAGGACAGCCTGATGGAAAGTGCCAAAGACACCAAGATCTGCATGGTTTACTAACGCACACAGACATAGTGGTTACCAACTATAATATGCTGCCCTCAATGTGGAGGTTTTGCGTTCAAATCCACCTTTTCAATGTATTTACATGTTTTTTATTACCTGTATATATATATTATATATAATATATATATGTTTTTTAATGTAAAGCAATCAAATTCAGCCATTGGCTGCTGATTGCTAATCTTATAAATAAATAGGGACAACACATTTTTCTCAAAATGTATTTTTATTATTTACCACCAGTGGCGGTTAACTTCCTACCAAAGTTACTATCAAATGCATTCATAAGATTCATTGCATATTATGCAATTACCCTGCTGATACCGTGTCTTTATGGGAATATCCAAGGGTATATACCACTTGGCCTCATAGCTCAGTTGGTAGAGTATCCAAACAGTAATTGAAAGGTTTTGCGTTGCGATCCTGATTGGGCCAATACATTTTTCTCAAAAATGTATTATGATCATACCTAGTAATAAATGATAAATTGACACAATTGTGATCATACCTATGAAAGCTGTCCACCATCTTAAGTTGTCCTCTCAGTTCCTTCTTGGTAAGGTGATCAAGCATACGTGCATCTACCAGACATTCCATGAAAGTACTACGATACTGCGGCAGGCCGATAGAGGGCAGCCATTCGTTTCCTATCCACTCATGGTTCATGTCTCCAAATGCTAATGACTGTGAAGAGGCAAAATATCAGTGAATTAAAAGTAATTCTCATCCCAATGGGCGCTTATAGTCAATAGAAAATACTTGAAGTTCACTAACTTTCATCAACCACAAATTTCATTACCTTCACCACCAAACCTTTATTATGATCATTCTTACCATCACTATTATAATATCAGCACAACCACAATTGTCGCAGTTAAGAGAAATTACAGTGTCATTTACATAAAGCATTGGAGCCTCATTTTGTCACACAGAAACAATGCTTTACGTTAATTAGCGTAATTACTATATAAAGTGTACGCCAAAGAATACGTAGGTCTACTGTCATGTACTGCAGGTGTCAACACATTTAATATTTTTGCCTTGTTTTTTGCCTCACATTTTTAACTCGTTTTGCCATGTATTACTTTGATTGGTATTAACCAACCCCCCCCCCCCCAACATCATCATTAACAACCTGGTCATCATCACCAACCTTTCCACCATCTGAATGTTAACATCTAGAAATGTTTTGCTTATTTGTAAAAAATGAAGAAATTGTAATATGAAATATTTAGTTAAATAGGAAAAAAAAAAAAAGATGAAAAAATGAAATTTCAGTACAGTACCTCCAAGATCTATATAACTTTATATATAAGATTACAGTATATTTTTGTCTTAGAATTAGATGGGTTTACAACAGATTGTTAGAATATTCAGATTATTTAGATTACACAGATAACTAGTCAGAATATGTAAATTATTCAGATTATTCATATAATAACTCAATTATTTAGAATATGTAAGTATTCAGATTATTCATAATATTCAATTATTCAGATTATTTATATCAAATTACTCAGAATATGCAAATTATTCAGACTATTTACAATATTCAATTATTCAGAATTATGTAAATTATTCAGATTATAATTTCAATTATTTAGAATATATAAATTACAGTATTCAGATTATTTATAATATTTAATTATTCAGAATATTTAAATTATTCAGATTATTCATAATAATATTTAATACTGTAAAACCAGGAAATTTAGCGTGCATTAAACTTTCGCCAATTTCGCGAATGGCACAGATTCGCGAAAGTTTTATGCCGCGAATAATTTTCATGTCACATTTTCTATATTTCAAAAAAGATCGGTAGAATACCATACAAAATTTAGGAATATAGTATGTATGAGTGAGTACTGTATGTGTGTAAACTTTTCTCTTTCTTAACTGTGCTGGATGGCCAGCTAAGTCCTGGTCCTCCAGCTGAGGACTGCATTCTTACGATGCCTAGACTAGGCCTAGCTACTGTAGCCTAGACAGTGGCTGTAGGCCTATCTAACCTAGGCCTAGAACTCACGAAACGATATTTTCCAGCTATTGTATGGTATTCCTCTCATGAATAAAATTTAGGCCTTTTGCGATTCGCGAAAGTTTAATGTCGCGAAAAAAGGCCGAAATTATCAATTCGCGACATATATTTTCTGCTTTTACAGACCTTTTTCCGGAGTCTCAATCAAACTTAACAACTGACCAATCAGAACAGTGTTTGCACCAATATCCAAGGGGCAGGGCTTATTCATAATTTTCAATTATTTGAACAAGATACAACATAAATTTATAGCACACTTTAAGATTATTGAGATTATTCAATTATTCAGATTATTCGATTATTCAGATTATTTGATTATTAAGATTATTCAATTAAATTTAACAGGAATAATTGTAAATTAATCCCCTTTATTAACTTTAAAAAATGATGTGAATTTCCAAATACAATATGCCCCAACACTTATTGGTCAATATTTCTATGTTTTATTCATTTTACAAAAAAGAATTTTGGATAGCTTAGACTCAGTGCAATTTAAAAATTATGGGTAGTTAATCTCTTCTAAAATTATGGTACTTTCTATGAATAACCTGGGCCATTTCCATTTTCCTTGGAATCCATAAACTTAAGCAGCAAATACTGGCAAAATAATTTGATAACACATTTAAAACTTCCTTAAAATTATCTATCGACAAGTCACACAGGAATGAGAATATGGGGTATATTTTATGACCATGAAATGTTAGTGTGCACTGGAAAAGCATGTTTCAAAGTATTATATTTGAGAATTTCCTTTTCGTAAAAAAAAATTTTGAGGAAGCCTGTAAAAGCTTAATGTGAAGATGCAAGAAAACCTGTGCAACCTTATAGATAACCCAATAAAAACATGATTTAAAATTGATAATAGAGGACCAATTATTAAATGATTAGTTTCATAACAGGATATGAGAGTGTGAGTGATAAAAGCTGTGAATAAAAATTATTTTCTATTAAGTGCTAATTACTCTCTTATTTCAGATAACTTTTATAATATAAGCCAAAAATAGTGTTAAAAAAATGATGTCATATTAAATGCTATTTAAATGATTCACAGCAAATTAGAAAATGATATTTGAATATTTAGGGAGCAAATAGATAATGAAGAAAATCTTGAAAAGTTGAATGTGAAAAACAAAAACAAAAATGTGATCCCAAAGTTTACCTCCTGGCTGTCAGATTTATTTGACAGATAAATAGTGGTGGGTTCACTCTGAGGAAAAAGTTAAATTATATCAAGAATTTATAAAACTGAAGTCTTGGGTTGGAATCCAAGATTGTTGTGACTTGGCTGTACTAGTATCAGTATAGATCTACTTAAAATGAAACATATTCATAAAAAGTAACACAAAATAAAACAAACAGAAAACTAAGTTAAAAGGGTATTTGCATTGTCTAAACGCTGACAAACATTGGACTGGTATTCAAATGGCATTGACAAAATGGTAACTTTAATTCTATCATCAATTATTTTGTAACATTCCAGAAATGTAATTATGGTGGGTGGAGCCATCCAACCCTGGAGGTTTCCACCCAGTCTAAAGCAAATTTCATGGTCCACCACCCACCTTTAAACCTCCTTTGCCCATCCTTAAAATTCACTTTTATTAGTTAGAGTTTACCAATGTTACCACTTACCCACCATTAAAATGTCTACCACCACCCTTAGTTTTGTACAGCTACAACCCTGCATTTTTAAAACTCCTTTAAGTACCCTTCACCCAGATTTGTAATAAAGGCCTCTAATCTCAAATGTACCACCTCAAATGCCAAGAACTGAAATATATGTTATTTTGATGTGAATATGTGTATTCTTCATTGCAGACTGAAATGTTACAGATAGAAGCCCATCATGCCCAAAGTCATCAAACATGGTAGGGCGTTACCACATGAAACGTGAATAAACAGAGCTATGATAGACAGATAATGATTATAGAATAATTAAATAACACTTACTGTCCTTGAAGTTGGCGGAGCAGATGGACTTGTAAGACTGACCATCTCCTGGATGGCTAATCTGAGCTTTAGCCGATGCAGTGGATTACTGATGCCAATCTCACGCTGGATCTCTGTGTCGGACAACGCTGACATTATTGCTCCACTCTTCACGTTAGCCCTGCATGCGGCAACGTACCACGCGGGCATACCAACCCAGAGCTCTAACCACGCTACCACCGTCGGACCATTCCATAATGCAAATGGGGTACCTGCTTTCATTGCTTCTGCTAACAGTTCATGTCTTTGAAAGGAAAATTAATAATATAAAATACATAAAAACAACTTCATTTAGCTTCAAATGTAGTATATTGAATTCCATTCATGTTAAGCCAAGAAAAGTTCCGAAAATATGGGTTGAAAGGTACTGGTGAGAAATAACCCTTAAACTTCTTATTGTTGGATCAACTTGGAAAATAAATTTTGATAGGAGAGTGAAAATTTTCAATTCAAATTAAACTTACTTCTTTTTCTTACGACGGTCGAAGTCCTGTTGTCTGGTTCCTAGTCCAATTCCAACACCATGCTGGTCTTGTGATGTGCTCTCTGCCTCAAGATAATGAGCTAAGGTCAGAAACAGACAGAAAAAATATTCATCAAAAGCTTCATAAAAAGTTAACAAATTAAGGGTCCTACTTACTAATTATGAATTCAAATTGCACAATTAAAGTAATTAATTGCTTTATTAAATTTATATAATATAAGCCATTTCCAATTGGTCTATCTTTTTATAATTATCACATATATTATATTTTAATAATTTTGTATTTCTAATCCAATTGTGAGATACTTGCTAGTTCATGAATAGAATATTAGCTTATGGAATGCACTGTGTTTTTTGTATTGTACAGTAAAATTATTCTCCTAAATACAGATGATTCAATTTTATTAGTTTATTATCATAATTAAGATAATTTCATAAATGTGAATTTGATTGACTAGTAATGAATACTTCTGTAATATATTCATTTCTGATTTATTTATAGGCCTACAGTAATTTATTAATGTGAATGAGAATATATCATCAATACTCTATTTACATAATCTTTCTCTTTACATTTATTATTTAATGGGAGAATGACAAATGTTCTGCTGTAACAAATCCACTAACATCGTGTGATTAATTGTAATGGGTTCTGTAAATATTGAATGGTGACAGGCTTTCATGCCAAACATACTGAAGCCCAGCATATCACCGTGAATGGTATGTACATGTGTACAGCGGGTTCGAGTACACAGAGAATGCTTTTCCGTCAATTATCAAATTGTAGAGAATAAACACGAACACTAAAGGCGGGCACTCGCTGCGATCAACGGTTGTCAGCTGACGCCAATCTATGAAAAAGGCAACTTCACAATGTCCGCGCAACTGATCTTTATTAATGACGATCCATTTAGACTGCGACAATCATCAGACGGCGTTGTATTAGTCGGTCACCGTTGTACGACGCAACGTGTGCCCGGCTTATATGTATTCAATAAAAAGATAGTGTCTTTTATACACACATAGAAAAAATGTTGATAAATATATTTCTGAATTGTACTTTATATGGTTTAGTGCTGCCTTGGTATGTTTTTGGTACTTGGTACAATACTTAGTGGTTAGTGCATTTGATTGATTACATATTCAAATTTTGTGTTGAGTGCATGTTCCTTCAAATATGATGTGTATAGGTGTACTTATACTAACACTTGGTACTGAGAGTATCACTCGTTAATTTTGTAATGAATGTACTCTCAATAATAAGTTGAGTGTGGACTCTCATTGAGTGGTATGGATGTTCTCACTCAGTTCACAATATCAATCTGGTGGTCTTTGGTGCAACTTGTGTGAGTAGCTAGCAAACAGGTTGCAGAAAAGTAAACATGGTACCAACCACAGGAACTGTAATCATTCAAGAACCATGGAATGGGAAGACAATGGGATGAACAGCCTTTGAATGAAACCAATTGGAGAACCATGAAACCGATTGGAGAACCATGGATTGTCAATCAAACTGACCAATCATATAAGGGCAAGGAATATGCACGTGTCATACAAACACACATTTTGTCCAACAAATGCACATGTTCGCGTATGTTTTAACAGCGTCGTTTTTTGGAACCTTAGCAACAGTATCGAAGGGGCAGGAATTGCGGAAAGGTCCCTTAAAGATGATGAAGTATACCATGGGAATGGGCCTATAGAAAAAGCAATCATGGAAAAGGTAAACTATGGAAAGTGAAAACCACTGAAATTAAAAATTACAGAAAATACTTTCCATTAAATCGTACATTATAACCAACACATTACAAAAGAAATATTTTTGCAAAACAAAATTAAACAAAATCTACAAGGAATAAATGTTCAAGATTAAAAAGTAATACAGTACTGGAAAAAGATGATGCTGCATAAAAAAATATATCAGAAAAATATAAAAATGGCATGGACAAAAATCAGTATCCTAATTCAATGTTGCTTCAGCTGACAGTAAACAAAACAATCAGTCTTTGATACATAAAACAGAATGAAAAAAGAGGAAAAATTACTGATATTGAAATTGATTTGTGACGTACAACACAAAGCTGATCGTTAAATAGAGAGACTATAATGTGCCTAGTCACTTCTATGCAGTTAAAAAAGAGAGTGCAAAGCATGCTGGGAATCTGTTTCTAAAGTTCATGTCATGAGAGCCACCTACCAGTATTTCAAGGGGTGAAGGGAAATCATATTTAAACTATCATTTATATAGGGGATGGTATAAAGACAAATATTAAAAATATACTAAATATATATATACTTTTGAATGCCTTACAATTTGCATATAAAGGGAATGGCTGGCTTCTAAGACAGAAACTCTCCTACTATTATGAAACTAAAAATTATTAATTATAATATGAAACTTTACAATAATATTGACATATTACAACACTAGTACATGTAATTCAATGAGCAGACATCTTTTTAATTATCCTATGCCAATGGGATGTATGGGGAGGGTATGGTAATGTATGTGGGGGTTTGAGTGTATGTGTGTGCTGTGCACGTTTTGATCAGATTTTTTCACATGTTAGGATGCCGATAATTATGTTCCATTACCTATGACACATGCAAGCTCCTTTCACACTTGTCACATGGATAATCCTACACTATTTTGGATTTAATATATATTTTTGAAATTTATTTAGTATTATCATTTATATTATTCACAATATATTTTTTTTGTTTGATAATAAATTGTGAATTATTAAACCTTCATTGGTAGCATGTGTTGTTTTTTCTAGTAGGAATTTTGTACAGGCTTTTTATCTGTCATGTCTACTCATATAATTTCTGAAGTCTCAATATTCTGAAGTGCAGGTTGGATTGCTGTGTTGTTTTGTTAAAGAACAGATGCAACATATAACATACTAATCTATAATCAGGCTTTTATTGTCACTGATTTTACGATATAGGTGTGTGGGAAAAGGAGAAAAAAAATAAGGTTCAAAATAGGAAAGTCTGAAAAAAAGGGGAGAAAAACTATATATTTTGAGATTCAGGCACAATTTTAATCTACCTTGGAATTGATGCCATAGCATAGTGGCTGTGAAAAACAAGTAAAATACATAATCAATTAAATATTAATTATCAATAAATTTTCAACAAATATAATTATTCCTATAAGTGAACTGTATTTAAAATGCATAATTTCTTTAAATGCTTTTATAAAATGTGTACTATAATACAAATTTTAAATGTAATTTCACATAATTTTTTTTTTCTCGAAAATATGGATTATTTTAAATTTTATTATTTAAAAATAATTAATATCTGTTGACAGTTTAATATTCAAGATATTGTTTCTATATCTAAGAAATAAAAGAAAACTAACAGACAATAACAATTCTATCCTCTAACAATAAACTAATCTAAATAGACGTTTGTTTAATTTAAAGTTTAAAGGATCCATAATATGAATTAACTTGTATGGATTCTTAAGATTTTATAAAAGGAGAAAAATGACAGAAAACTCTTAAAGTTAAAAAGACAAAACCTGACCTGCAAACCAGCAAGAAACGGAACAACAGGCAGAGAGAAAGAGACGGACCAGGGAAGACACAATGGTGTTATCTGCTAGCATACCCACAGCAAGCTGTATCCATGTGTGTTAGGCTTTAATGTGAGAACTAAGTATGTAAATATATTATTCATTTGAATTGCAGTGTTTTATGTTTTATTTTCATCAAAACTGATAAAAATCCTTATCTACTACCCTCAAGTAGACTAAGAACTAAGCACAAAGAAAATAAAATTTAAAAATAGGGGGGAAATTAAAGCAAAATGTTAACAAAAAACTGAAAAACAGTGGAATTTATGCTTTCATGCAATCAAGGAGAAAGTCTTTTATTAAGAGACAAGAGACACTATGATTATGCAGGGGAAAATATGCCAGAAATAAAAATGAATCACTTACAAGAACTGAAATTAAAAAAGACCAAGAGGTGATAACGTATGCCTAGTTCTTATGCTACTGAGAGGGCAGCAGAGCTGCGGAGTACTGTTGGTTACCTTGTGCCACCGATTCTTTACCGCCATCTCTGACTCTCCGCAGAGTTTTATCCTTTTTTCCAAAGAACCTACCAAGGGAGCCTTTGAGACCTGTGGGCTTCTTCGGATGTTTGGTGAGCGAGTCTTGACTGCTGTTGGTACTACTGTGGGGACTGGGTGTGTTGGTGTCACTTCCAAATGAGTCCCTTAAAAAAAGCAAGCGTATTTGAAGCAAAATTAATTGAAAAGTTACCAAGTTGATGGTTGTTCCAAATGTTTTTTGTACTACTAATTATATGAATTACTATGTTGTCATCACTAAGGAAATGAAATAGCACAGTAGGAAATGTAAGGATGCTGCTAAGGAGTAAGGTATGATGGTACTGCTTAAACAGTGAAACAACTATATTTTAATACATAAGAATGGGTAAATTATGTTGCAAAGAAGTGTAATGTTTTTGTTAAAGAAGTGAAACAACATTTCTGAAGAAGTATATTACTAAAGCCTATTTTCCACAAGGCGAATATATTTTCGCGAATCAAAAGCATCGGTTCACTTCCTGAGCTCTGATTGGTTGCGCATATTATTTTTTGCTTCACAAAAAGTAGAAACAGTTCTAACTACTGATTTTGCTGAAACGAAAAACTCTGGTAGAAATGTGAATGCGCATTAACTGACAATTTCAATTTGCACGAATAAATTCGCCTAGTGGAAAACCAGCTTAAGGAAGCACAATGCTGTTCTAAAATACTGAAGGAACATTCCTGGGTGTAATTATGTTACTAAGGAAATGTTTACGTATAAAAAATGACATCTCTATGCGTAATGCTGCCAACCTAAGGAAATAAAGGCCTTCACTAAGGAAATGTAATGTCATCCATAAAGATATGTAATACTATCCCTACAGAAATATAATGATATATGTAAGTTACTATACAAAAATTGGATAGTAATCACAGAAAAGCAAAGATGAAAAAAAAAAGAAAAATAATGATCCTAATAAGTAATCAAAAAAATTAATCTTAATTTTATATGATACACTTCCAATAATCACAGAAGAAAAAAAAATACTTGTGCTTTAATGTTCATGCAAAAGCCATAGATCATGTGATAATAGTAATCTCAAAACATTAATAATAAATATCAAAAATGAAAGAAATAAGAAAATAACAAATAGCAAAATGCAAAAATTATGATTTTATATGAAATGTGCTTGTAATAACTCTCTGGCATTTAATATCAAGCAAAAAAAAGAATGGAAAACTTGTTTAAAAGACAACAAAATATGTGACCTTTGAGTGGAATGTGTCAAGAACTTGGCAGACTGCTGTTTTTAATCCTAACAAGCACTTAGAATCTACATGCACGGTATTCATACGTTATATAATGACAAGTGGCAACACATTTGTAAATATTACCAACATATGATCCTGAATTGTACAGATATTGCAAATTTATTCGTGCAATTTTTTATGCTATCAGCAATCGGTACACTAAACAAAATTACTAGCAATTTAATAACCTCCAGCACCAACTAGGCTCGTCATTGAAATAATTGTAATAATATCAATAATTAAAGAACATTAGGGCATTTTGTAGAATGTATCTTGTCAATCAATAAAGTATTGATCACTTTGGGATATCAAAATCGATTGAAAGAGATATAATATCATACAATCAAATTTTATAGTTTTTGTATATTTATTGGACAAACTAAAATTAACTGTTAACTAAAATTTAACCTACAAACAAGCATCATTGACAAACTATAACAATAATAATTGAACATCAAATAATGAGAATTATAAACTGGAAATATAATAATGTATAAAATATTAAAATTTGCAAATCACAGACAAAACCAATGTTTGTAAACTGAAGAAAAATATAGAGCCAATGTCAATATGTATCATACTATCATTTATTATTTTGAATTTGAGGAATCTTTGTATCCAAAACGGAAATATACTGTCTGTTTGAAACTAGATAATATAATTTGAGCGACTTTGCTGTGTTCGTCTTAAGGAGGCCCTTGGTGTTGCTAAATGTTAAAGGGCAGGCCTTTGGAAACATTCTGTAAATAAAATGAGTTTGAATAACAATAAATGTATAAGTCCTTGTATTTTTGCCTGCATTAGACTATGTTGTGAATCAAGCCATATAAACAAACAATAAGGCAAGTATCATCTGCATTTGCGATAATCATCTTTGACCATTAGTACTGACAATATAAACTAGGTCCTTAAATGTTTGTTTATATGCCATGACCTTTGACATAGTCATGTGCAGTTGAAACTACTGGAGGACATATTGATACATTGATTAGTATTGATTCTTATTGATTATTTACATGAATGCATACATAAGATTACATCAATGATAGACTCAGTACATATTTACCAATGCGATCCATGATCTGGTAAAATGTGATTTGGTAACCCTTGCCTTATATTGCCAACACTACAAAATACAATGTCATTTATCTAGCATTACTTATCTCTGTACCAGATCCTAACTATGTAACTTTTAAATTAATAATAGTCAATGTTTTGGTATGCTGTTAATTTTGAATGATTAATTTATTCTTTAAGATATCGTATCTGTAAGATATGAGATTGATAATCAAAACAACATCAAATAGGTTTTAGGTCCTAATTATAATACTGTTGTTGTTTGTTGGTTTGTATTAAATTTGCACTCCTTTTGCAATGTGATGTACGTACCAACTGACTTCTAAAAGGACACAAAGAAATTTTGAATCTTTACAGAGATTGGTTATTATAATTAACAACATAAAAAGCTGGATATATTTTGAAATAAATGGTAAAGGAAAATTTGAGATCACTTTGGGAGTCTCTGATTTTTTGACAACAAAATAAGAAAATATTCATCATCTCTATATGCAACATTATTATTATTCAAATAAGGAAAGTGGTCCAACATTTACAATGTATCAGAAAATAATTGATGTTTGCCTAAGCCTCTTTTCTTGACTTAAGCAGTGGAATGTTTTTTTTTTAGATGTGTAAAAAATCCTACAATATTACAGGCAGGCTCATGGTACTAGAAATGAAGCAAGTAATTAGCAGCTCATGACTCCATTACAATATGATATAACAGACTGTTAATTGTCTTCTTTTTTTCATTTTTTTTTTTTTAACTACCTATTAGTGTCGCTGTCGTGCTGACACAGCTACTGTTCCACGAGTTGTAAAAGATTGATAGTATAAATAAACGTAAAAAAACTGAGGTGTTCAGACAACATATGGAATGTGTGAAATACAATAATATATCATACACCTACACTTTAGAGCATGTATGACAAGTCCTATGCCGCTTCTGCTAAATCAATCATTTACACATACATGCTTTAAATAAACATTATCAATAACAAAAAAGCATTCTTGTTTGAATCTGTGGGTGGAACTTGCGTACATTTAATTGGTTTCAAATTTTTTTGCACATATTTTTACTAACCACTACCATGAATTAATGAATTAACAGACTGAAAACAAAATTTGAAAATTAAAGACTTCAAACACATGACGTAAAACACTCTACTGCTTTGCTTCAAGCGTGTTAATGCAATATTGAGATTCTAAACTAAACAATTTGATTAGATGCCCTCCCTTACTAAATATTGGGAAGAAAAGGTGAAAACCTATTCAAACAAAGATCTCTTCCCCTTCTTCCCACCCACCAAAAGAATATAAATAAAAATACAAAATTTCATAAATTATATCAGGCAAAAAAAAAAAAATTAAATTTATACACAAAAAGCACTTTGGACTGATAATTATTCTGTTTATTAGAAGACTGACTGCATCTTGTTGTAACCATGGAAGCCTTTACCTAACCAAAATTAAGTTAACAGCACAAACACTCAACAACATGATCCTGCTACAGCCGCACTTTACAATCCAGAATATTAATTCCAACACATACCTTCTTTGCTCTTCGTCAACTTCTACTGTGAGAGTTGCACCTTTTTCAGGATGGTCCTGCCTTGGTGAAACCGGGGGACTCGATTCACAACGGATCGGCCTAAATTCCTCCTGACTTTCTTCCCGTCTATAGTTACCCTGGAAATGTCAAATTTCATTATTAAGTCAATTTCTAAAATGAAAAAAAAAATCAATATTAATTTTTAACTTGAAAGTATTAGTGATAAGTAATGTATTAAGTTTGTGCAATTATTTTGTTAAAAAGAATCATAACTTTGTAATTAAACCATGATAAAATTAAGAGACAATAAAAATAACATTATGAAATATGTTAGTTATAATATATAGAATAACATCCAAGTACTTGTACACTTTAAATAAGTTTCTTTCCTTAAAGATGTATTGTCCCTTGCTAATGCCAAAACATCATTAAAAAAATAAATTTGAAATAAACTTGCTCATATTGCAATAGCATACGAATTATTAACTTGTGCATAGAAATTATTGAATATAAAAAATGTGTACCCTGATTTTTAAACCCAAAAATTGGAAGTGACTGGAAGTGTTTCTATCATTTTTCGCTGTAAACTGATGAATAGACATCTTTAAATACACTAATTTTTATGTTCAAGTTGATAACTATTATGTTACTTCAAAATGGGCAAGTTAATTAAAAAGAATATTTTTATGATTTTTTTGGTATTTAGCATGGGACAATACATCTTTAAATCTTATACTTTAGATCAGTGAAAATACTATAATTGTATGAACATAAAATATGACTAAACCCATATATATATATATACATACATAACACTTCTGCAAATACTTGTTTTGTGAGAAATGTTGAAATAAAAATGTGATAAAGATAAGTATACAGCCACCATACTAAGTGCATTCACCTCAAACCCATACATAAAAATAATCATTCCTAAACAGCAAACATAAACTATCTAGTATGATTATAATTTCAATAAAATAAACCCACATATTTTCACAAAATATCTTTCCTCTTCAAAATAACCAAACTTTTGCATTATTGTTTTGTGATAGATTAGCAAAAACTATTGGAATCAACTTTTTGGAAAAACAAAAACGATTATAGTACTTATGCCGATGTTAATATGAATGAGGTATAATAATTATTATTGTTGGTAACATAATATCATGCATTAATGTCATAAACCATGCTATCCTTTTCTCAATCAGAATCCATTCATGCATCAAATTAAAGGATACATTAATTCATTAAGTTACTAGTAGAATGATCATTCATGCTGCTTACACTCGGAAAATGTTTATATCTTACCGAAGGGTCTAAAAATAAATCATAATTTCTTCTCTTTTCATTACTTTTTGTCTCACTATCTTAAATTGCTATATTGTATATGGTTCTTTTCCATTACTAGCCTAGTACATAGAAAAGAGCCATAACAGGCACAGTAGAACACTCTCCTTTGAGACACCCCTGTTTTAGGGGACACCCCCAATTCCTATTACACTTTTTCGGCCACGGATGAAGGGAAAGTGTATCTTTTAACACAATGGCTAACCCCCTATTCAGGGGACACCCTATTAATGAGACACTTTTGTTAGTCCCAAAGGTGTCTTCTTCATAGGGGTTCTACTGACATCATAAATCCAATGATTTTATTTTTCAACACATCTCAAATCATTATCCTTTATTTGTTTGTATAAGCCCACCTCACATACAAGTGCTCTGAAGTTTTTAAATTATCAGCCTTTTTATAGCATTTTATTAAGCTACTGTATTAGAGTACTATGTATCAGGTGTAACCTATTGCCTTACATTGTACTAAAACCAAACATAATATATTATCAACATTTTATAGACTATCAACCTATTACAATGTGAAGTGGTTAGAGGCTTTATTGGCATTAAGTGCTATAAATAGAAGTCTAAAATATTATTATTTTTACCATCACCATATTACAGTATACTATCAACCTACAACAGTATATTATCAACCTATAGTATACTACCATCCTAGTATAATACCAACCTAATGCAATACACTATCAACCTACAAAAGTACATTAACTTATCCAAAATACAATTACAAACCTATTATATATACTTATGAACCTCATATATTAAGAATATAAACAAATTATACCAACCTATGAACTATTGAATAAAATAGAATTCCAATTGCATTATTGGATAAGTATAGTGCATTGTATGGGGTGCATAAATAAAAGTAATTACAATATTATAATTCACTTTATGTTTACTCTAAAATATTTGAAAAATGAAGAATTAAAAACAAATTGCAGGCAATATAAATATGAAAATAATAAACATTCCAGACAAAAAATAAAAATATTGACAAAGTATAATATATTATATTTTAACCTTGAAGGAATATTGATATGATCATGCATGTGATGAGGTTAGCCCAAGCAACAGTGTAGAAGCATGCTATACAAAACAATAGCTGGCTCTACCTTTTGCCAATAACGAAGCTGAGATTCAGAGAGGGACATGGAGCGTACAGGAAAACCATCAGGCGAAGAGGGCGGTGTTGACGTATCAGACTAAGAAGACAACACAACCAATCGGCATCAAGCATTTCAGCCATGCGAGAAATATAATAAGAGGTAGGAATAGAGGGAAGTCAATTAAAAAAAGCCTAGACTAAAAAATAGTCTACGTACAGTATGAACATTCATATTAAGACAAAGCTAATTACTAATTACACTGGAGTAAGGAAAATGGTTGATTTACCAAATAGGGTATAATAGGGCAAATGATGCAGGATAATAATATGGAATAAAAGGATTTAGTAAAACCAGAGAGTCGAGGATGATGGAAAAAAACAGATAAAAAAAATATGAAAGATCATGGATAAATGTATGAAGAGCAGTTTCATTTAAAACAATAAAAATAATATAGAATAATGATAGTATTAATAGATGAAGCATCTGAGAATTGATAGTATGATAAATGAGAGGGATTGAGTATGTATGTATATGTCCAAAAACTATTTTTAAAAAAGGGAATTTGTAATAAAAACTGAGATGGAGATAATTATTTTGTGGTTGAAAAAATGTTGGATTGAAGTTGACAATGAAATGCACATCAACCAAAAATAGATGGAAATAAAATACAGAAAAATAAATAACCTAAAAATAGTACAGCAAAATGTTAATCCTTGGAACTTCTTACTTAATGTACTATTAGTACAACCTTATTACATTACAAAAGAGAGCATACAGATTTGCGTGTTCAAACGATTACTCACTAAAGTATTCTCACTAAAGCCCTGTGAAGACTATCAAATAGTATCTGATAAAAACATGTCAAATATGCCTAAATATGGTCATAATGACATCATATCATGATCATATATAGGCACATCATGACTATATATGGGCATAGAACAGTTATTTGTCAAAGAAAATTTTATAATCTGGACAAAGCTTTAGATACTGTAACTAAAAGCAGGACAAACATGAGAGCTGCTCAGTCTGCTAAACTTGACTACTAAGTTCTGTCTAGATATCAAATTTTCTTTGACAAATAACTGTTCTATGCCCATATATAGTCATGATATGCCTATATATGATCATGATGTGATGTCATCATGACCATATTTAGGCATGTCACACGTTTTTGTCAAATAAAATATGATAGTCTGGACAGAACTTCATCAAAGTTTATCAGACACACTTTCATTTTTCAAATGGCTTAGATTTGCAAGTGCTTTGCGGTATTTAAAGTGGCTGAGTAGTTCATAACTGCAAGTCAATCTTTAGCAGATTTCCATATCAAAAATGACAGTCCAAATATAGATGCGTCTGGTGAAAATCAAGCTCTTCTTGATTATCAATCGGAATTGTATGCGGATATTTTGAACGAAAAAAAGATCTCAGCAGATGCTAATACTCAAGACATCACATTGTGAAAAATCAAATTCAAAAGTGAACAATTAAAATGAGTAATACAGGAAGGTAAAAACTAAATATCAGCTTGCAATAGTAATCAAAATTCCTCATGGAAAAGTTGGAATAAATTTAGCATAGCATAAAAGGTCAAATATAAAAATAGCTTAGAAAGAAAATAACACAAAATATTGAAAAATCACAGAGAAAATATCATTTCAAAATGTGTAGGTGAAAAAAAAAAATATTACCATCACAAATAAGATAAAAATATGAAATAATATGCAGGTTTTCTCACCTTATCTACCATCAGAGAAATCTGGGGCTGACTGGCACTGTGTTTGTTGCCCAGAAAATCATGCCGATTAGCTTTAGGAGTCGATGCCCCACTCCCCGGCGGGGACCTTACCTCCCTGTCCAGGTTAATTAACATGCTACCTGGGAGGGAGCGGGTGAGCATCTGCGGCTCTGATCGCCAGGAGCTTGACCGACTTGTACCAAATACTCCAACATTGTCGATGCTACCGACACGGTGTTCTATTTCTTCTGCACGCTGTTCTGTTGTAAATTTCTCTTCTTGTATAAGCCTATGAATATGGATTAATTTATGAATACATTAATTTATGAATATATGCATAAAATATTATCAGAAACAATATTTTGGAGGCATCAGAGCGGAGCCTATTAGAGAGTGGCGCTTTTTTGAGAGCGGCGCTTATAAAAAATATTAGTGTGACGCTTTTCATGTGTCGCATATTCTAGAGCGGTGCTTAGAGAAAAAAATCAGGTTTAGTGCAGTGCTTATTCAAGCATTTACAGTGCTCATATTTACAGTGGTCGAACAGAAAGGAGAGGGTGTCTCAACCAATATCCTAAGTTACCATGCAGCTTCGAGACTCTCCTTGCTCATGTTTCAGTTGATAGAAATAAGCCTTCTGAGATAAGGACTTTAAAAAGGCTTGTGTGCAGCAGTACTAGGATACATTATGATATGACAACAAAAACAATGTCATAGATGAAAGAATAATTCAAATTCTGTACCTGGTTCTATGTTCAGCCCATTATCAGATTACTAAGATTTTTTTAAACCAACTTAAAAATCCAAACTCACTGAATTTCCTTATTGATTGCATCCAGTTGTTCTTGTAGCATAGCTGCTAAAGTCTGAGCATCAGTATGTCCTTGTGGAGATAACATATCAACAGCACCAAACACAGTCTCGCTCTCATCTCCCGTTATAGCCCCATCATCGCTCTCAAATGCCTGAGCGATGTTTGCTAGTACGTTAGCTTGTTCAGCCTTCTCCCATTCTTGTTCATTCAATGTGTTTACCTAGAAACATAGAAGAGAAAAACATTTGTTTCAAATGTTATGCATATCAAACAACAAATAATTTCTTTTTAATTCATCATTGTTTATCTGGTTTGTATATGACTACAAGGGGTTTAGTTTAACCTGATACAACAATTTAAGCAAAAATACATTAACTTTATGTTTATAATATAAACAAAAAATACATATAAAAAAAATATGTAAATACAAAACTTCTTATTCAGGCTATACATAATAAAAATAACACTTTTACAGACATTCTCTAAATCAGGACTGTTTATACTACTTTAAATTCCTCTTTTTCATGTCTGTTACAATCTTTGCATGATTAATAAATTCAATCAATAAATCAAGAATTGTTCATTAAGTACTTAACAATTATTATAATTCAAGCAAGACATTAATCTCTCAATGTTATATTAAAGTTTATAGCAAATATAATAAATATAAAATTAAAATCTTATAAGATTGAATCTTTATTGACCTTTAAATGAAATGCATATTGCCCATGTTGAGTAAACAAACTTAAACAAATATATATTTGAGTCGCTTAATAACAGTACTCTCAGTAGCCTTAAATTGAATATTAGAACAAGAAAAAAAAATCTCAATAATTAACAGACCAAAATAATTCTTTACCAATATTCTCTGCATACTGTAGGCTCTGAAATTGGCTGTAAACCTAATTATTTCTAAATGCGCCTCTTAAATGAGCAATTTCAATCCAGAATTTACCAGTGTCATTAAGATGATTAGCAGCTGAGCGAAGTTATCATAATATATTTAGGCTCAAAGTAAATATCCCAGATAACAATGAAAAAGTTATGATTCATGAATCATGAAGATAAAGCACTTGATAAACAGTTGTTGCCAGGAATAAACAAAAACAAAGACCACATCACCCATTATTTAAATTTATTTATTTTGTATTTTTGCAATTATATCACCCTGTTTATTAAATACAAAATCAATCATAATAGCCAATGTGCAACCTCCTTCCCTTCCTAGGGAGCAACCATAGTCAGCACCAGATCTAATACAATTCCAAGCCAACCTCTTGGGTTAGGAGAGACATAAGATAAAGTGCCTTGCCCAAGGCCATAGCTATGTGACTAGCCTCAGATTTGGGCTTAGAACCTTAGAATTAGAAGCCTGGAGCTTCACTGATGCATCACACTCTTCCGTTTTCTAGGTTCATGTATGACGGCTCATTTTCTTTTTCTTTCTTCTGTTGTATTGTTACATGTTATTTTTAAATAAATTCTTGGAAAGTAATCATTTAACTAAATACCATTAAAAGTCAGAACAACGTTATTTTAAGATATCTTTCATCTTCCCTAATAAAATATATTAAAAAAACAAGTGTACTTATGATGAAAAAATGTTTACAGAATCATGTCCTAAAGGTAGTTTCCTAAAGGTATTTTGCAAAAAAAATATATATTTTTCCCTTTTGCCTCAGTAAATCAATTCAACTTTTGAACCTTCTAGATGGGGATTTTAACCAGGCTTTTACTAGACCATTAATACTGTAATGTATACATTTTCCACATTCTCATTGGACATTGTAGTGGAAGACAGTTATATAATGGAGATGACTTATTTTTACTTAGCTCTTTTTTACAACATATTTTATGCGGTTAATCCAGCAACAAAGGTCGATCATTGCACTATGGTTGCGTGATACAACTGGCACTTACACGTAGTAAATATTACTTAGCCGTGGTCTCCATAAAACTTACTGCAAATTTAAATCCAAGTACAAACAGCAGTAAAATTTAGCCAAGAGCCAAGGTAGGCTGACGTACGTTTTGGTCAATATTAATCAAATATAGACACAGCATAAATCTCTTTATGATGCTTGAAAAGAGAAAAGCTGATCATGTGGGCCCTCAATGCTCAATAAGGAAGCATCTTCATAAGACTTGGAAAGAGTTATATTTGGTGATGAGAAAACCCTATATTTTAAGATTAAACCAAGCTTTTTTGGATTGTAGGCCAAGAATATTTACTAATAAAAAAACACCACAGCTTCAGTCCTTGAAGCGAAACATAGAATTCAACCAAAGGTTTGCTTAGCATGGTAACCTGCACCATAACCATATAAATTTGAATGCATTTTTAAAACATTCTGAAAAGTTCTCTTACCCTAGTTGGATCATCTTGTAGCGCTTGTAGACGTCCCTTTTGTGGTCGTCTAATAACTCCAGTGGTCATTCCACTAATGTCCACCATGTCTACGTCCTGAGTTGCATTGCCTATGACCACGTCTGGTACCGTGGGCATAACATTATCGGATGAAATTTGCCGATGTAATGACTTGTGCTCTATTCGATATCGATCATATTCTTCTTCTAACCGCTCCTTTTCTAGTTGGATTTCGTTCAGAATCTTGCGAGTACGGTCTAATTCTTGAGTAAGTGCGTTCTTTAATTGGAAAAATAATTTTATATTTACTGAGATTTCTTATAATTAAGGGTCATGCAAAAGTCATAAAAACATAAAAATCTTTTAGTTGAATGTGGAATAATGAAGTGTTAATTCAGAGCTACGTAATTTAGTTGAGGCTCTTGGATAAAAAAAAAAACAAAAAAACAATTGACATAATGCGTATAAAGGTATTGATAGAAAATGTCAAGGTAAAATATACTGTAAGTACTGAGAGGGTATGGCTGGAGTTACGATAACAACTAAAATACTTGGATTTGGTCTTAAGCAACAGAAAATTAGATATGAAAACAGATAAAGGAAGTCAATAGTGTAGTAATGCAATATAGGATTCACTTCAAGTTTAATATGGATGACATTTAAATTATAAAGGCAAGAACTAAGGTGCATGTATTGAACGATAAGTAAAGTAGATTATGTAAACTCTGGCATTTTGATGGCATGGAAAAATTAAGCCTCTTCATGAAAGGGTATGAGTTAGGCAATGAAAACAACAGCTTAGTAAAATATTGAATCAACAATAACAAAAGTAATTTATGATATAAAAGCTTGGTTTGGATAGGATCAAACGGAAATCTTATTCAAAGTCATGAAAGTATATAATTCAAGCCATAACATCTAGAATCTAGGTTAAAGTTTGAATAAAACCTAATGGTATTTTATTTTATGATTTAAAACTTGGGTTTGGATCAAAAGAAAGAGTCAATCCAAGTCATAAAGTGGTATCAACCTATGAAAACAACAGCCTATGAAAAAATATTAATTGAAAAAAACGAAAGTTATATTATTTAAAATCTTGGGTTCATATCAAATTCCTTGCATTTCAAATAAAAAGAAGCAGCAAATGAAACATTGTGATTGGATCATAACAGCTGCCAATTAGGAATGTGTCCAAGCCTAACGGTCTGTACTAGATTTCTGGCAAGTTTTTACCAGCAATAAGGAAAGTTTGCTTTGGTGAGAAGGTTATTGCCCTACGTATCGGATATAAGGACGTGGAGTACATCCTCAATAGTAAATAGAATATAAGTTGTTTTAGCAATATGCCATAAACGCTTTTGAAATTTCATCAACCACATAATTTGTTTTCATAGTTGTGGACAGAGTGGCCATATAACGTCAGTCAACCGTGATCCAGGGCATATTTTTAGTAGGGGTGAGAAATACAGCCAATTGAAATTGGGATAAAAACAGGTAATATTAAATGACAGTGTGTTTACAGTACATTAGAGCAGAGATTAGCTAGTTACGAGAGCAGCTTAGCTCAGGTGGGTAAACTGTTGATAGCCACTGTGTGCGTTGGACCATGAAGATTCTTTTAGACCATCGATTAATTCCATCGTTACTCCCCTTGTGTTTCAGCTGTAGGGCTGAAAATGCAGGTTACAATACTGCACCATCTTTTGGATATAGATGTATAAGCTGTAGCACCTGCACAATATGGCCCAGCGCTTATTAAGAATTCAGTACACTTTCCAAGAAAGAGCAGGGGATATTCCTAGTGTACTGCCCAACTTACCACCAAATGAACCCAACTATTCATTCATTCATTCATTCATTCATTCATTTATTCGATCAATAATCAACAAACAGTACAGACATAAAATTCAAGGAGGAACAAAGACAAAATGATGAGAAAAACACAAAAAACAGACATGAAAAGTGTTGATTATGATCAGGATAGCCCAAAAAAATCATTTGCGAAGATTTATTTCCATTGGGGTCCAAACAACAAGTCTTTGGAATTTGGTGGGTTATACTTGGTGTGTGTGAAGCAATTGTTATATGATGATTATGATTTTCTGCAGATATTATTCTCCTGAAGACAATTGAAGCAACTCAATCGAAACGTCAAGACATTCTCAACCAACAACAGTTTTTCCAGAAATATCTCTGTGGTATACCACAAGCATTAATATATATTATTACTTTGCCATGCAAACCTTCACACAATATGATTACGATCATTAATAATTTTAATAATTTTTAAAATTGTGTCACAACACAATTTTGTATAATGTACAAAACTGCTTTTAAGAAAATAAACCAGGCTACAATACACCGACTACAACCTCCCAGCTATCTACTACCACATAGTAATTATGTGAAATGTCTTTCAGCACAAGTTGAATAAATGGGTTGTGATGACCTTAAAAACTACATTTGAAGCTTAAAGACTAATTGCGGTATTCATTAGGTCGTTCATAACTAGTACTAGGCTTCACGATACTGATGATAATCTAACTGTTACACCCAACTAGAACACTGGGCAAGTAGAATTGATTCTACTCGCCCACATTTCATGTTACTCTAACCTATCATGATACGCCTGCCCAGGTTACAAATTCTTTATATCTCTGGGCAATAAGAAATAGCAGGTTGGCGATCCCAGAAAATTTTTTTGCTAAAATTAGCACGCTAGAATAGTACCCGAGAAAATGGGTATGTTTGGATGTTTACATCTGACTGTCTCCAAAATCTTTTAAGACTCAAAGATAATTTCTCTGGATATAAATTTTTTCATATTCAATAAAGCACCACTTAATGCAACATCGATGATTGTCATCTTAAATATTCATTGATAAGTCATTTTGAAACTGTAATATGTTAAGTAGACATATTAACAGTGTAAGGATTAAGGGCAATGCCACGCAGCTTACCTTGTCATCTAAGGCGGCCATTCGTTCCTTTAGATGGATTTGTAATCTCTCATTCGATTCGGATAATAACTTATCTACAGTATTAGATAGCCTCTTATTGTGTTCTTCATTCATACGTTCTCTTTCACGCGCCTGCAAGGACATGGAAAAAAATCTTTAATTGGTAAATTTGTAGAATAAGCTACTGTACGTGATTATTAACCATCTACAACATTTCATGTATATTATGTGTATTTTGATTTATAAATTTGTACAATAAGCACCGTGGTAAAGGTATACAACACTTCACATATATTATGTGTATTCTTGATACTCATCATATTTTAATAACAATATTAATAATTCTTTGTTTATATAGCGCCTCACTTTGAATTATCCGTGAGGCACAGTTTTAAAGAAGCAAAGAAATAAACTGCTAAATAATAAATGCGTACACTGCAATATAAATAGATGGTTAAATAATAATATAGAAACTAATTAATAATCAAAATCTATAGACATTCTATCAATAATTAATAACAAAATAAATACATCCGGTAAAAATAACAAAGAAAAACATCAAAATTGTAGAACAAATTAGACGTTAGGTTCCTGTTTATTTTCAATATCAACAATTAAAGATTAATCAATGTACGATAATATAATGTACATAAAAAAATATACAGAATAAATTAGGGGCAGATTTAGAGCGGGGAGGCCGGGCTGACCACAGTTTCCCCCCAACCCCCTTTGGAAAGTTAAAAAAAAGAAAAAAGAAATAACTGATCGACCTAAATGAAAATGGTTATTTTCGGTTGCATAGAAAACAAAAATTTGTGGGATCCTCTAAGGTAGTGTTGTCTCCATTTGTCACACTTTCGGTCCCCCTTTTGGACACCATGGATCCACCCCAGCAAATCAATATAATATGTAAAATAAAAAAATATAATATTGTACTTACACGCTCTAATTCTTGTTTACATTCTTCTAATTCTGATTTGAGTTGATTAAGATTCTCTTCAGCAGTTCCCTGCCTCTCTTCAGCCTGAAATCAAGATGTTTCTCAAGTAGCAAATTTTTATTTCTAACTCTTATGGTAATGCTTAATTTCATGCTCTCAATGTAGCAGTAACTGCGCCAGCAAGGAAAGAAAGAAGCAACTGCTCGCTCGTTGGACAAGCATGAACCACCCCTATCACTGGATACCGACTGAGATCATCTGACAATGTTTGAGGTCATTATAGGACTAAACTTCATGTTTGCATGTGGTAACAGCATAAAGACTTAATTTGAAAACAATTAATCACCAGTGTAAAGTTAATAGTTCTCTCACCTTGTAACATTCTGCTGTTTATGAAAGTGTGTGTCATCATCATTCCTGATGATGACATAATTAATGTTGAAATACTGAATCCAGACACGATGGCGTGCATTTCGATACTTGGAGTATGTATTATACTATCTTGTGCGAGTAATATAAAGGTAGACAGCTTTTGATTGGGCACTGACATGATCACAGAACAGATCTTTTTTTTACAAATTGTAGATTTGACCAAAACCAATCGAAAACTACATAATAATTCGTACCTGAGAAAGAGCAGCCATTCTCTCAGCAAGTTCTGCTTCTACGCTGGGCAACGCTTCTGCTTTCTGTATAGAATGCGTGAGCTTCTGTTCGGCTACCTCCAGACGTTCCAATAGCTGCCGTGACCGATCTTCCGTCTGTTTCAGCAGACTCTCTTTATTAGACAATTCGGATTCTAGCTTGTCATTTAGGTCGTGCAACGATGCCGATTCTCTCTGAGCGCTTAGGTAACGCTTTTCCAACGTTGCTATCCTATCGTCAACCTCATCTTTGTGTTGAATTGCCTGTATGGATATAATGAACATTCGGATAAGTGAGCTGGACTATTGTACATTTTATCCACATCCATTAAGAGACTAAAACTAATTGACCATTTATATGAACAGTCTCACTTTGAGCTAAATTTCTTTATTAATTTCATTACTAATAGTTTAATATATTACATGTTAACTGCTACCTTTAATACTTCAATTATCCTATAAAGATAAAATATATCTAATAAAAATAGGTATGGAATTAATAAGATGAAAAACAATTTTTCAACACACAAACAATACTGTATATTGTCTATATTTGGACTAAATGATATCTATATTACACTGGTATGAAGATTAAGGAACCTAAATTAAGATGGTTTACAATTATAAATGGAAGAGGTACACACACAGACATAATGTATTTAATTACATTAGAACCCCTCCTTTAAAATATCCCTAATAACAAAATTTTTTGGCCAAGAATAAAAAAAAGTGGTTTTGCAACACTAGCCATGTTAATGTGCCCCATGATATACTGTATGAAAAAAAAAAACAAAAAAAAAAAATTACAGAAGTTAAGAGAACTGAAAAAAAAACTTCATTACATTTATAGACAATGAAAAAAATTGAAAATAAATAAAATACAAATGATATGAAATGAACATCTCAGGAGGGATGACATTACAGAATATTAGGTCACAATATGGCCGACAAATACCAAGAATAGAATTAAAGCGTCATGAGGGCTACAGAACATTAAACATTACATGAACACATTATGATATTTCTAGTCTAGATAAATACATTTACTGTACATTTAGGTGGTAAAAGTTTTGAGGGAACACTATTTCCTTACTCACACCCACATAAATTGACTAAACACATAAATTCATATAAAAAAGATGTACTTATACAACAAGATGAAATGTTACTTCTAATTATGTTAATTGGTCGAGATGTAAATTCCTTTGGTTGACTAACAGAATGATTAGTAAAACATCCCAATATTTCTCTTTATAATTTTCATAAAAGGTATTGTAATTATCACTAGGATAAGATGGTTTCTACTATCTATGAGCTGTCACATGGTTCGTTAGGGAAAAGCTTACTAATTACCTACTGAAGTGGTTGCTAAGCAACATGCTATTACGGTTGTTTGTGAAAATGAACAGATAACAATAGAGATAACCCTAGCATACATATTGGAGGAATGAGATAAAAATATATGCATTAAAAAGTATGCCAACGAAAAACAGATGATTAAAGAATGGTAATGGTAATGGTTGGAGACTTATATAGCGCATAATATGCTCGGGACTAGATGTTGCACTTTACAATAACTTTCTCCTCCCCTAAGGGTCACTTCATGTCTTCAACAGCCAGTAAACCGGCGCACTTTCATCTGTCCACGACAGGGGCCGAATGAACCAGTACACCGGGGTAACCCCCTACTCATCTCGAA